CCTCATTTAGCAACAGCTAAAGGACAGAGCAGATTTAAAAGGCTGGGGGACAAATCCAGCATCTTCCCAAAGCACATTTGTGCTGCAGGCAAGAAGTCCTGCTGCTGCAGCTCTTGTGCAAACAGAAAGACACAACAACAGCAAGGCTGGGAGTGATGAAAAGTGCACACACACACACACACACACACACACACACAAGGACTGCTGTGCTTTGCTGCTGGAGCCTTACTTGTTTTTGTAAACCCACACGCCGAGTTTGTCCTTTGATGAAGGGGGGACCCCCTGACACTCTACTCTGACCCACTGCAGCACTTTGTCCGTGGATCTGGAATTTAACATGTAGAACTGTAGAAAATAAAAAGATTTCTTTTACCCAAACAGTTAGCTGAAAGCCCAAGTCTGACTGATGCTACACCAACAACCTGTAATTGGCACGCATTGGTACAGCAGCACTACGTGAGCTCTCTCTCCCTCACTGCACAGAGCACAGATAACATGAGGAATGAACTGTGGACCCAAAGATCCTTTTGCAGACTCAGGCCCCAAACATTCTGTTACAAAAGGAACAGGACCGTGCACAAATGGGACCATTCAGAAGCAAATGAAGGTGTGTACAACATCACAACTGCCCTGTAACTTAACAGAACAGTTCCAAAAAAGTGTTTTTAAAGCTTTTGCACAACACCTCCTGAGATTAATTCAGCAACCTCTGGAAATTTCCACCTTTCAAAGAAGCAAACCTGGAAGCTCTGGTGTGATATAATTTACAGGGTGAACTGCAGAGCAAGTGCCTCCCAAACAAGTAAAAGGTCACAGCGCTCCTCTGTGCTGGAAAGCCACCAGAGAGCAATGGTGCAGAGCTGGAGGCCAGCCTCAAGTTTGGAAAACAGATTATCTGACCTGCAGCAGAGAACTAACACACCGAATGGATCAAAGTGTGCCAGCTGATCACCTGAGTGGAAAATACAGAAATTCACGTGGTGAGCACAGCATTTTGTTAGCCAGAACCTCTCAGGCAAGCACAAAAACACATGGCTTCAGTTGGTTTGCACCTGAGGAAGCTGCTGACAGGGCACAAAGGCTGCTATCTGCTTGCCAGTAGGTGAAGCCACGGAGCACACAGGGCCTGGATCCACGTTCAGGATCCCATTACTAACATTAAAGCTCTGAACCGATTTCCGATCCGTCCAGCAATTCAGAAGAAAAAGCTTCTGTGATTTGCTAAGTCGATACATTTCCTGCTATGGATCGATTTCAAGTAACTGAGAAGTCCAGCTCTGTACAGAACGGGACCAAAAGCTAACGATGAGGGACTCGTTTGTGAGAAAGGGTTTACTAAATCACTGACCTTGTTTGTGTTGCCACGTGCATGGTGTCCTCCAAACAGATACACCACCCTGTCTACACATACAGCACAACTTCCAGACATGGAGGGTGGAACATCTCCCTCTGTCTTACTCTTCTTCCTACGAACACAGATTCAGACATTATAGTTACCCAAAATAAACAGGAACGACTTTGTCTGGAGTGAAAACCTGAACCACCACCATCACATCTGTAACTCCGACAGATCGCTGTGCAGCACTCAGCTCTGAGTTTTTCAGACCCATGAAGCTGAACACTTCACAACACCAGGCACTATGGGGAGCTGGGGTGGGGAAAAGACAGCTGAATTATCACGTGGTTTCTGGGGGAGGAATCCTGTCTGCCCAGTGCAGGAGTTCAGGGTGCTTTTCCCATTCCATATCCCAGAAGAACCCCAGGCAAAAAGGCTGCACCTGTCCAAACTGCGGGTTTCATTTTGCTGCTGTTTTTCTCTAATGTCTGTAAACACCATAAACACACTGAAGGCTTCCCAAACCACTCTGCCAAGCAAGAAGTGCTGAAGTTGCATTTCCTGCTAAGCACGGAGGAGACTGGGCTTCACTGCACGTGGCCCCAGCCAGCTACAGCATCAGAGCAGTGTTCCCTTCTCCTCCTGTGCTTTCAGGCATGCAGTTCCACACCACGTTATGGCCCCTAGCAGACCCAGCAGCTTCTTTGGCAGCTTAAATACTTAACAAAAAGGACAACAAATAAAACACAGGAGGTACCCACAACGCTTCCTCCGCCACCATGTGGCACCCACTCAGTGCTCAGGTGTTGCATCCTACCCCAGACATCCCAGGACACCCCATGCTGATGCTGACATTTGCCTGTGCTGACTCCCTGAGCTCTCTCTCCCACTTCACCCCACTCACTCCTGGGAAAATTTGTTTATCACATGAAAAAAAACACAAAATAACAACTTTGGAAGTATTGTACACAGTATGCAACAGCAGGATAGGTGGGAACAAAAAAGTCAGGGAGTTCCCCTTCTGCCCACAGACCCTCAGTGTGGTCATTGTACCAATTTAAGACTTGTTCTTTCCATAAAGCAAAAGATATTAAGTTAATTATTTACTGTACCATCTTCCAGTTTCCATGTTGTAGATCCATATTTCATCTCTAGGCAGATAGAAGTCATAAAATCCCCTAACTTGGGCATTCTGCAGAACATATCAGAAAAGAAAAAGGACGCTTGAAGTACAGGCAGCTCTGAATGTTTGCAAGCCCTCACAGACCCAACCTGCAAAAACAACAGGAGCAGTGCCTGCTGCCCTCTTATACCTCCTGCCTGCACACAGCAGTTTGAACGTTATTACTGTTTCTGCTGGGGACCAAACTCCCCATGGGGCCACAGGCTGGGACACATGGAAGCTGAACCCTACGTTCACATGCCAGGCAGAGCAGCCTGGGTGCACAAAGGAGCCAAAGTGCTCTTTGTAATTCCCATTCCCATGACACCAACTGAATAATCACAGAACCACAGCAGGGTTGTGTTGAAAGGGACCACACAGCTCCCAGCCCCACCCCTGTTGTGGGCTGACTTCCCCCCAGCTCAGGCTGCCCAGGGCCCATCCACGGCCTTGGGCACCTCCAGGGATGGCAATACATCAAAGCTTTGTCTTGAGCTAAAATTCACCCACTGAATCTGCTGTCCAGTGAAAAATGATTCCTTTTCATTCCTGTCAAAACTGTAGAATGGTTTGGCTCCACTTGCCATGCATGCACCTCAACATGTTAAATAACCAACTCGTGATTGGTAACATGCAACATACAGTTGTGCTGATAACGGTGTAAAAAAAGCAACACTTTGCAGGGAACGCATTCCATAGCAGATTGTATGTTCTACCTTTATAACTGGAGCTTTAGCTTTTTAGAGGAGGGATCATAATCACAGCATGGCCTGCGTTGCACAGGAGCACAGTGCTCATCCAGTTCCAACCCCCTGCTGTGTGCAGGTCACCAACCAGCAGCCCAGACTGCCCAGAGCCATATCCAGCCTGGCCTTGAATGCCTCCAGAGCCACGTCCAAACAAACAGTACACAATTACAAGCACTAAGGGTAACAGGCAGGTAGCACAGAGCACAGTGTACCTTGTATCCTCCCCAGACGTACATGCAGCGCCCATCAGTCACTGCCACGTGCCCACTGCGCTCCGCAGGGCTGTCGTTCTCCAGCTGCTCAAAGCTGTCCTCAGCTGGAGCCGGGAGCTCTTCATCTGCCTGCAGGTCTTCATTATCATCAGCCATTTTGATCTGGTGCGACACACAATAACGGAACGGTTTTGAAAACCATCAGGGTAAACAGAGGGAAAAAAAACGATAAACCACACGCTTTCAGAATGATGTTCTTCAGGAAGAAGCTTTCACATCACTCAGGAAAGTTTTAGAAGGGCAACAGAGCTGTGAGGGCTCAGGAGCGCATATCTTACAGGGAGTGGCTGAGAGAACTGGGACTGCTGAGTCCGGAGAAGAGCTCAGAGGAGCCCTCATCGCTCTCTACAACTCCCGAACAGGAGGTGGTGAGGTGGGGGTCAGCCTCTGCTCCCTGGCAACAGTGACAGCATGAAAGGTGATGGCCTCAAGTCGTGTCAGGGAGGGTCAGCTGGATGTTAGGAAAAACAATGTCTCAGAAAGAGCAGTCAGGTGCTGGACAGGCTGCCCAGGGAGGTGGTGGGGCCACCGTTTTGGGCCTCCAAAGCTAAGCCTCCTCCCCCCCAAACCATCCGTGCTGCTCAGTGCAGGACCTCACCTACATCGCAGAACAAAACAGAGCCCCTCTCTGCATTACACCGCGGACAGAAGGCCCAAACCTACCGACGGGGCCCAGGAGGAGCCCCAGGGCAGCACCAGCTGGGAGGTGCCAGCCTCAGGCCGCCAGCTGCCGGAGCCTTCGGGCGGAGCGAGGGCTGAGGCGGCCGGGGGCAAAGCAGGGCTCGGTGCGGGCAGGGAAAGGTCTTCAGGGGGGCACGGAACGCGAGCGGGCTGACGGCGACTTCAGCCTGAACCGCCTCAGGGACCGGCACCGCAACACCCCCAGCACGCAATTCTGCCGCGTTAGTTACGCTTCAGAGACCCCTGCCCACCCCTCTGCCTCAGGCCCACCAGACCCGCACCGAGCCCTGCCCACGACCAGCACTATTTGCGCGCCGTAGAAGACACGCCACACAACGCTTGTGGCCTTCGGCCACGCTCCCCCCGCACCGAGCGGCCCCGAGCCCCGCACGGCACTCCAGCCCTTGCCTCAGGGGACCCCACCGCCTCCCCTCAGCGCGGGGCCGAGGCACAGCGCTCGCACAGCACCGCTCCCAGCCCAGCCGCACCCCCCGCTCACCTCAGCGGGCCCCGCGCAGCACCAACAACCGCCGGGGCCGCACTTCCGGCCGCACCGCGCAGCACCAACAACAGCAGGGCCGCACTTCCGATTGTACTGCGCAGCACCAACAACCGAGGGCCGCACTTCCGGTCGTACTGCGCAGGCGCAGCTCCGCCCGGCGGGGGAGGGGCCGCAGACGGGGCGGCGCACGGGCGCTGCGCCATGCGCGAGAGGTTGGGGGTGTTGGGGAAAGCTGTCGGTTTCAGATCGTAGCTTTCGGACTGTAACACGTCACAAAGCATCCAAACGGGTCGCTCTCCAACTCTCTATAAAACTTTAATGACTGCGCTCCTGTTAACTAGGTATCTGAAACAGAAAAATAGCGAGTACTACATCTGCTCTTCTTTAACCAATAAATAAACGTTTTTTCAACAATTAAATAGAAACTTTACACGTTCCAACACAACGTACAGTCTATTTCCCAAAGCACTCGGTGCTGACAAGCGCTGTAACGCTCCCTCCCCTCTCGGTGCGGCTCCCTTCAGGCTGTGCTTCCACCCCCCGGTGCAGTGTTCAGCCCTGCCTTTCAGCCAGGTGCCAGATACCAGTTTGGTTGATCTAACGGTGGGATTCGGTGGTGCTATGCCAGGTGTGACTCTCCCAAGGGCAGTGCTCCACTCGCTTTTCAGAAGGCTGGTGCCATAAGGCTGCGGTAAGCTCTGTGGCTTAAGCCACATTTTGGTCAACTGCATTTGGTGGCACATCACCTTCCAGAGGAACAAGTTGTATGGGCTGTCTCGTTAAGACCACAACAGTAGAAATTAACAATACATACAAATTAAATTTTCCCAATTTCCTACGGCGCAGAAAACAAAACGTTTTCCATGAAAAGGAATTCCTCGTTCTCAAACTTCACTTAGAAACTCAGCTGAACATACTGTTGTTCTGTAGCATTAGGAAAGTTCACTAACAAAACACTTGGCCGTACGCTGTGAAGAAACCAAAGTGTTCAGCAGCTGTGTGCCCACTGCTCATGTGCTGCTCAGCTGGCACTGCCGCTCCGTCTCTGCTTTCTTCTCTTGCCGGTGGTTCATTGCAGCCCAGAAGGTTATTTTCTTCAGCACCTGCTGCAGAAGTTTGGATGGCAAACAAGGGATTTGATTGTTCAGTAGGGCTGCGTTTTTACCAATGCAGTCAAGGCACAACCTGAAGAAGAGGTAGGGAAAAAAAAAAGAAATAGGAACATTATTTTTTTTTTTAATTAAAAAAAAGGTCCTTAGAGTTCCCAGCACAACAAAGATGTGGGGCTCTTGGAACAAGTCCAGAACAGGGCCACTAAGATGATCAGAGGGCTGGAGCACCTCTCCTGTGAGGAAAGGTTGAAGGAACTGGGCTTATTTAGCTTGGAGAAGGCTGCAGGGAGACCTCATGGTGGCCTTCCTGTGCTTAAAGGGAGAGGATAAACAGGAGGGGAACGGCTGTTTGTGAGGGTGGATGGTGATGGGACAAGGGGAATGGTTTTAAAGTGAGACAGGGGAGGTTTGGGTTGGAGATGAGGAGGAAGTTTTTCCCCCAGAGGGTGGTGAGGCACTGGCACAGGTTGCCCAAGGAGGCTGTGGATGCCCCATCCCTGCAGGCATTCAAGGCCAGGCTGGATGTGGCTCTGGGCAGCCTGGGCTGCTGGTTGGCGACCTGCACACAGCAGGGGGTTGGAGCTGGATGAGCACTGTGCTCCTGTGCAACCCAGGCCATGCTGTGATTCTCTGATTTAGGTAAGTTATCTGTAACCCAAAGCGGCGCTGAGTAAAAGCTTCGTGCAATGTTGAGTACACGTGTTGTGCACACACATGCAGGAGACAGAGGATTAGACACCAACTGGTGTTTAAACTGCTATGGATTATCATACACTGCATGTTTCAAAGGTTTGCTGAGTCATTTTACAGTTTACCTGCCTACACAGGATTACATTAAAACCTTTGTGTACAAACAGCACCAGAGCGATGTAAACAGCATCAGCTCACCTGAGAAGTGAGTAAGGTTGTGTCTGAAATATCAACAAGTCACTGCAGTGACCCTGATTGAGAGAAAGAAAACAAGCATGTAAATGACAAACAGCTTTTCTCAGAAATACTGCTATTTTGTACATCAATATAACACCTATTGCTACACCCAAAGTTTTAAATTGCAGACAAATAATTATTTAGAAAGAATCTGAATAGTAGACTTCTTTATGAGCCTAACAAAAGCAAGAAAAACCCTTTCTAAACTAGCTTTCAGGAACACCTAAGGTCACATCATCCTCTCATATCCTTGTATCAGGAAAAACTTCTTTACTGAAGGGGTTGTTAAGGACTGGAAGGGAGTGGTTGAGCCTCCATGTGTTTGAAGACTGTTTGGATGTGGTGCTCAGGGCCATGATTTAGCAGAGGGTTGTTAGGGTTGGATGGTTAGGTTGTGGTTGGACTCGATGATCTTTAAGGTCTTTTCCAACCTGAGCAATTCTATGATTCTATATCAGCAACTGTATTAACTTCATTTTATTTCACTTATATTAACTATAGTGCTGGGATTTTGTTGTTCAGTTTACTGACCGTGTCCATGAAGTGCAAGTCATCTTTGCTTCCACCAAACACCATCACCTCTCCTTCTTTTCCAAGGCAGGCTGTATGCCACAGTCTAGAAATAACATTGTGAATAGGTTTAGTGACCAAATAACAATGAGCAGATGTGTGTTATCAGTAAAACAATTCCAAAAGTTAAATATTTTTATGCAATACATCCACATATTAACTACCTCACACACTTTCCTACATTCCTCATATTCAAGTTTCTTTTCACAACTCTTCCATTAGGGGGTCTGCATTCCTTTAAATTAAAATGGAAAGGTCACCTTTGCTCAGTCCTGGGATTGCACTTCTTGTGCACAGAGAGCCTTGAAGTCTCATTCTTCTCACACCACTTAGCAAGAAGAATTGCAAGGTTTGAAATAATTAATTTTACAACTTGCACTGTGAGGTGGAGAAACAATAAAGCTGGTTCTTCATTGTTTGTGTCTTAAGGAAGACTTTGTTTGCTAGTGAGCCCTCAGCTCCACGGGAGTGAAGCCCAGTACGAGTCCTTCTTTTCTGTCTGAGCATTTATTTGCACAGAGTAATACCCTGGGAAGTACCTCTGAGGTTTCTGCTTTGTCAAATATTACTGATCAACTGATTCCAAACATACATGGGAAAGAGAGGCAGATGTACATGTAGAGTAGTGCAACATAACCCCCACCTTTTAGAAAACCAAGACAAAGACATTATTTAAAAGGTTTTCAAAACTAACCCAGTCCCTTAGAATATCACGTAATTATTCAATTACTGAACAATACAAAAGGAGAGAGCAATGTGAATATCCTTTCCATGAGAATTTTGGTGAATGATTACATTTCATGCAGACCAGTACATTTTTGTCACTACTTGACTTGGCTGTATTGTAGTTACTTTGTCTTTTGTATCAGTGGTGCAACAGAAAGTTGCAGTGGAGAAATTTTAGAAAGCAAGCTTTTATCAAAACAGCCTTTATCCTGTTTCTTTAATCCATGAGATAATTGTATTTGTTTCAAAGTCATGGGGATTTTAGTACTGACTCTTATCCCTGAGCACTAGGATGAGAGCTTCGTAGCACAGATTATCTCATATCACTTTTATGCTTACCCCAAATCTCACGGGGGTCATTTTCTGTGCATCAATTACTTATGCCATGTCCACAAGTAATTTGTATTGTACGTGTAAAAGCAGGTAGTATAAAAACAGCAGCAAAAACAAAACAAAAAAGTTGGCTTAAATAATCTTGCCTTGATGACGACTCTGCTACTTCAGTAGCTACACCTTGCCACATTTACTTTTTATTGCTAGCAGACAAAAACATGTCAGTTTTCTACTGGTGTATCACCACTGAAGTAACTGCTGCAGGATGATTACAGCCACAGAGCTCTGGCCCCTTAAGTGAACTTAACCAAAACAACACATGCAGCTACAGCTCTTGTGCAAAAGGAAGCATTCGCACTTTCTTACTCCATTCACTTCAATTATTCACCGCTCTCCTCAGGCTGAACTGCGTCCCACCTTTTCTCTTCCTCATACCTGTGGATAGATCTGTCTCTGCCTTATCTGCCTTAGGGAAACTCTGGCCTGGACTTCATCACCGAAGAACACTTGAAGCCTTTCCTGCCTTCACCTTGTTGCCATCCTATCTTGCAACCTGATGCATTTCTCTATAGACTGACAGAGTTTATGTCCTCTCACAGCTGCTCTAACTTAGCACCTAAACATTCTAATAAAGCATGTTATTTAAATTACACAGGAGCTGAATTCATGTAACCTTTTACATAGCTCTTCTATCTACAGTAACAGAATTACATGGCAATGCAAACACCAGGAATTTCTAAATTAAACATATAATTTGTTAATTGATTTGGCATGCAAAACGTTTTCTAAAGCACAATTTATGGATAGAAAAAAATATATTCTTTTCTACCAATAAAGAAAAAGGAGACAATTTACTGGAAAAAGGAGGTTAAATGAAACTAAAGGAACTGTTCTTTAAAGAATTTAATGAGAAACAATTTTGCAGAAGCACCAGGAAAATATACTGACACATGGAGTAATGCAGCAGAGAGAAATATCTAACCTAAGTACACATTTAAGTATAATGCCAGAACATTTTAAGTCCTATTGTTAAAGGCATGTGAGCAACTCATTCAGACTAATTCAATATATAGACAGGTTTTTGCTGTGGCTTCTTTTATGGGTTTCCAAGACTTGAAAAAACGTTACTGCAATATCTTCCTTTAAAAAGGTGGTGCTGGACTGTCATTTGCTTCCTTATCAGTGAAGGGCAACTGTCCTCAGCCTACCAACACTGTACACCAAAATCTGAAGGCAGCAGAGAACAGCAAGACACATTTGAACTGGAGGGAACTTTCAGACACTCATGAGATGGGAACCCCATGGCTCCATTCTCTCAGGGCTGCATGCACAGCAAAGCAAGCAGTACCAGTCTCAGTTGCCCTTTTTTGGTGCTTCCACAGCAGCAAGGCAGGTGGATTGCTCAGCAGCCTCTCTGTCAGCACAGTCAAGTGACAGGGAAGCTTTGCAGCCCAGTAAGGGATCTGCCATTGAGCTGCCTGTAAGCCCCCTGGGGCTCAAGAGTGCCAGCAACCAATGTTTTTACAGCTTAACTGCAGAGAAAAGGCTGAGCTGCAGGTTCCCAGCCTGCTGCTGGTAGGACGAGCACATCCTGCTCCTTCCCAGTCCCTTTCTATGATGCACCAAAAACTAAAACTGAATTACACGAGGGGAGGCAGTGCACTTCAGCAGGTAGCTTCTAGAAGCCCATCCGTGTAAAGAATCAAACAGGAAGACTAATTAGCCTTGACAGCTAATGATGTGCTTAGTTATTTAAAGCAATCAGCAGTTTTCACATACCAGTTCACTGACTGTAAAAAGACAGAAAATATTCTATGCAGCTAAGGTATGAATTTATTTAGGCCTGAAATAGTTTTAAATATAAGAAAACAGAAAACTTGGTGGGCTATATTTTAAAGTAACCAAGGATAGGATAAAGTAGTCAGAAGTGATCTTTTTCTGTAGTCATGAACTTGAGAGGAAAGGGGAACAGAATCTGGGACACCACAGCCACATACATCCTAGACGTAGGGTTAATTTTGATTATCAGTTCTTAAAACTAAAAAACCAACTTTACAAGCCTTGATTGTGCTGCTTAAATCCAGCTGTTGTTTAGCACTAAGTCAGCTCTGCACACCTGTGATCATGATTAGTTGCTTCTGCTCAGAGAAAAACAAACCAAACCAAACCAAGAGCTGTCTGTAATTCTTTTGGAGCCCAAAAGGTCCGTCAGCATTTTAATTGTTGTCTTCCCCATGTTTCTCAAGATGTGTCATCATTAACCAGGGTGTGTAATTCTCCTTGGTTATAAAATTCCTCAAAGTTAAACAATATAAATTTTCTTGTATAAAAAGGTGAATTTGCATTAAAATATTTGAATGCAAATAAGCATTATAATTCAACTGTAACAACCACGAAGTAAAGCCTTATCTGCTGTGAAGGAGCATAAAGAAGTAGTGCAAGTTTTCAATCACACTGCATCCATTTTTGTAAAATATTTGTAAAATATTCTTATATAACATAGTTTAAAAACACTGTTGAGTAATTCAGAATTCCTTAACTTGAAATGTGTAAATTTCAGCAACTGTTATTGTGTACCTAGGCCTGCTCTTAGGCAGATGAGTAAGTTGTTTCCATCCATTTGTTGTGATGCTGTGAATCCAGCCATCACCTGTAAATAAGAACATATGTCAGTAGTTTATTACCTTCCCTTCACTTATACACAAAGCTCTGTGTTCCAGCAGGACGGTACATTAAGATAACAAAAACATCATTACTACATTATCTAGCACCATTTCAATCTCTGTAGTTTAACCTAGCTGTTCACTTACCAAAAGCATGCTGCATTGAAATCTGAAATTAAACTGTTTTTTTCTTTTCTTTTTGATACACTGAAAAAGCAGGCTGACGTTCCTATGAAAGCAGGTCAACATCCTTTTGGAAAGCATCCCCTCCCAATGGAACATATCTGTGACACTCAAAGCTATTTTCATATCCTGTCATGAGAAGATTGCCTTTTCTACAAAAGCTGCTCTTTCTAGAAAGGGAACACAGAATATGGAGACCACCTTACTTCCTATTTCACGTTTTGTAGCTGTGATTCATCCAAAAATGTACAAATAACACATTGATGTCATGCATCTTCTTACTGCAATTCATGTTCAGATCAACAGTTACCCCCTGCTCACACCTGAGTGTGTGAAACATTCGGTTTTTTTAAATCACAGGCAGCTCAGTGAAAGATTTATCACCATATCTTATCACTGTGCTGCACAACATGCACCTACATTTCTTTAAGAAGCAACATGGCAAGATAAATACTTAAAGTGTCAGAAGAACTCTGAAAAAACTCAACTCTAGTTTGAGAAAGACAACAAATATCACAGTGTATTCAGTTAGTACTGAAGTATACAATCAAATTATAACCTTTAAATTACTTACTTAAAGGAACATTATCAGAACTCAGTCCTCCAAAAAGAAAGAGTCTGTCATCTCCTATTGGAGTCAGGGTGTGCCATGATCGATCCTTTGGTTTCTCCCCACTGATACTAATTCTTGATGAAACAAAGAAACAAAAAGCAATTTTTTTAAAGAATGTTGAACATGAACCTGATGGGAAATTTAATGGTTAATTCAGTCTGTCTTAAAGGCAAGCTTGGATATTTTCCCAGCGAAAAAAACTGCAATTCAGCAATCTGAGTTTACCCTCAAGAAGAGCAGTGTTCAAATCTAAAGCAAGTGCTTTGACTGTCCTCTCAACAGTGACATAAATATCAGAGGAGAGGAGAAAAGCAGAGATTGCTATTTTGTTTGTTTTCTTAACATTACTGAAGCCACTAATTAACAAACAACTGAAAGCACTCAGGACAGCAAGGGAAGAACAGTATATTCAAATGACCTGCACAGCACACATAGGAATTTAAAACTGGAATGGAATTAAACTACAGAATTACTACCTTTCATTTCCTAAGAAGATAATTTTAAACGCTGCAAGGATGGTGGCTTTATGTCTCAGCCCAAGGGTACAGTATCTCTCCCAGCACTGTGCCTTTTCACATAATGGTGGGCTGCTCAAACTTTGAGGGGAAAAAAATGACTAAAAAGTAAAATTTGCAAGTATGAAACAGAAGCAGTTTATTATTCTAAAATTCAGTTCACGTGACAAAAGTAATGTTCTTCCAGATCTTATCGAGGTATTTCATTTTAGCTGCTGTTACATAATGCTTGAGATGAGAATCTGGATAAAGAAGCTGAACATTTGGGATTTCCTGTAGTGGGTGGCCTGAATTCACATCGCCTTAGTCTGGGCACTGTGGTGTATAGTTGCATCAGGTGGATTCCAAAAGTCAGCAGAGAAAGATACAGACCTCCAGAGGGCATCAGACCACCTTGTATCTCAGTCTAGCAAAAGGGAACTTCTCTTGCACATGTACCTAAATGTAGACACACACAGTCTAGGCTACCACATACTATGTTCTGATTTTGGAAAGATAACGAAAAGAACAGCTACAGACACCAGTCAGCTCTGTGGCAGGGTCAGACTCTTGCTGGACTGTCCATAGACCAAAAGAGGGGGACTTTGCAACAACCCACCCAGATTTTGTTTCCAAGAACAAATTACCTTTCTTTTTTTCCTACTTTGCTAAAGAGGGGTTAATGTAGTTTAGCCAGATGTGTGCTCTATCGATACTGCGATACAGCAGAAAGAGACAATAATCTGTATTTCCTTTACAATCCATGAAGAGAAACAGTTTCTTGAAGAGCAGAACTTGTGACACTTTTCAGATGTCTACCTTGGCAGCAGTTGTCTCATGCCAAAGAAGTGCCTGTTTCTCTAACTGAGCACAGAGGAAGCCCAGGGTGAGTAATGCAGGCACCTGCAGTTAGAGGAATCTCACTACTGCTGACTGTTGAGCAGCTCTCCATCTGGAAGCAAAGACTGAAGAATCACAGCTAATTAAACAGCAATTGCAAAACCGTTCCTACTAAATTTGGCACTGAAGTTGGAGCCAAGTTGACAACGCTTATTTAACTGCCTGCTTCACATAACTCTCCTATGAGATACTTCTCAGATCTGCAAAAGAGGCAGCCTCTGCTGAGATACAAAAGCTTTGATGTTTAGGAAAGTATGTACCAGATACTGATTGATACTGAGTGACAGTGTTTGAATCTTCCTTGCTACTGCTACAAAAAAAATACTGTGGTAATAGAAATATCATACTATTGGACATTTTTAATAGCAGGTTGGTGGAGCTCAGAGATGAAGTAAGTTCTGAGTAGCAGTAGGGTCTTTCCCTGCTCCACCTCTACCTGACAGTTTCAACACTGGACATATTAATGTGGCATCCTGGTAAGAGTGCCAGTGGTAAGAGACAGTATAAACTACGTTACTCTTCAAGAAGAAATGTTTTACCTCTGAAAATCACTATTTCTAACTTAAAGACATTCATTTAAAGGCCTTTATTTCAACCACAGTCTGTAAAAAGACCCTCCCAGTTACTCACATTTAGCATTTTTTTCTTCTGCGTAGCAGTTAAGATTTGGGGAGGAAGGTTTGAGGACAGAGCTCAAGAGGTGGGGGCAACATGGGGGCATTTCTTTAATCTTTTCTTTATACAGTTAACTCCAGGAAAGATCAGTCCTTAGCTCTGAGCCTTACTTGTGCTGGCAGGTAACAGTGGCAAGTCAAAGCTGCACCTGAGTAATGCAAGAGTATTTTTAAAGAAGCTTAACAATGAATACCGTGGTAAAAGACAACGACTATTACTGCAGTCCCATGCTGGAATATATTCCTGGATTAGCAAATTCATATGATGCAATTCCTTAAGAAACCTGTACAGAGTTAAATAAGAAAAAACCCGGTACGACTGGTTGGTAAAGCAGGCTGGTGAAAGTGTATGATGAGTCATGACAGCGTGTCAGCTCATGACAGGCCACAAGGCCTTCAATAAAATCACCAGTATGTTTGGAATTTTTCAGAGAAAATAATGAACAAGAGAATGTGGATGTTGGACTGTTCAAACCAACACCTCACCAGGAGATGTGGACTTCACAGTAGAAATCCAAACATCTGCAGCGTTCAGATAGCCAAACTTTTTAACCTGTGTTAAAAGTTTGACCCTCATTTGGCGATAATTCATGTGGGCAGTCAAAAAGCAACCTCTCTGCGGCTGCAGTGTCTGAGGTAACTCGTATCAAGATCAGAAAGGTTGCAGCTTGCTCTGTTTTTCATTTGTCATTAGAACAGAGGAATATGAAGTGATAGCATAAGAAAGGAAAGGGTAATTGCAAGAAACACCTGGAGCAGAAAATATTCACACTGATGGCAAGAAAGTCTGAAGGAATTTCCTCACTCATCTTCTGAGACAGTTTTTAGCTGGAAACAGATTGCCTGATTACAATTCACACTATTCACAGCTGCTGGTGCTCAAAGGATATGGGGTGATTTGGCTTATTTCTCACTCTTAATATGTAACTTCATTGGTTAAAAAACAGAAGAGAAAAAATGCCACTCTTTGTCTATCTCATTCTACACTGTGCAGAATGGTGGAACTTCTGGGACTACGTTCTTTAGCCTGGAGACGTTCCCTACAATGCCCAATTTCTAGTATAGCTACTGACAGTGACTCTATAATGGATGGATTTACCCAGAAATCATTTCCCAAGTAAGCTGAGCAAAGACAGCCTGTGGAACAGAGTTAAAATGTGAATACTATTTTGATAGTTCCTGAAAGACACGCTGAATTTTTGCTCCTCTTATAATTAGGAGATTAAATCTATTTTAGAGCTACTGTGCATGCTGACAGGTAGACTGGTGATATGAGATCATACCATAATAGATAATATATTTGTAGCTATAATTATTTGAAGAGAACACTGTCTTGCATTAGGCAAGTGTCCTTTTTTCCTGATTTGCAGATGACTGTGCCTGATCTGAATCCTTCCATTAGTGATGGTCTGAATTACTTTTCAGGCTCCTGTAAGATCGGACACCAAAGGGAGAGCAGAGGCTGCCTGTAAGAACAGCTTTTGATTAGCTACCCTGCTAGGTCTGAATAAATACGCACGGTGCAAACACCCTGCAAAGCTTTTTTGCAGCAGTGTCCCAAATTATCAGGCTATACTAAGTCACAGGTCAGTCCTCTGAGCTACTTTTGGATCACAATATAGACATAATTGGATACTGGAACAAGTTTAAAGGAATGGTTACATTCAGTATGCCCACCCTCAGTCTCAGACTATGTACGTGTACTTGTATGTAAAATCATCTGCTGTACTGAGGCCAGGAACAGAAAAATTTTGAAAACCTGGAAACTAGCTTTCACATGCCAATAACATGGATAGGAACTTTAATATGGCCAGCTTGGTCTTAGAACTGCAACTATGACACCTTTCCTTCAAGGCTTGATGTTCCTCTTACTGACCTGTCACTCAAGTGTCACAGCTTTCCTTTATTAAAGCAATAATAAAGTCAGTCAAACAGTAACTGTTTGTGCAACAATCAAAAACAAGGAAGCAATTACATCCAGTAACTGGCATAATCAATCCACCTGGAGGGAAAGTTCACTCTCTAAGAATAACAGTGGTGTCATCTAAGCAAAATATTCTTTGTTTTAAAACAACAAAGAAAATGGTCAATTAAGCCTTCAGTTAATCTTAAGTGCTGATGTAAGAAGTCTCCAAAGAGGTGCTTTTTTGAAAGGTCACTGTGAGACTTCCTTGTCCTGCTGCCCACCAGCACTAAGAAGGAATTGAGGGAGGACACCCTGCTTTAGCTCTTGTTTCAGAGGGCAGAGATTGGATCAGCAAGTCACAGATATCCATCATAGGTGCATGAAGCACATAAAGCTCTGGAGCAGCATCAGAATGTGCATAGAATTGTAAAGCTGCACTTTCTGGTCATTTCTGGGATTATCATTAGGTTTCCTTGCAGGTAGGAACAGAAGAGTGGTTATCACCTGTTGGTCTCCTGGTTTGTCTATAAGCTAACAATACATTCATTGACTCTATGCATGTAGTACTGAAAGTATAGGATAGCATTTAAAAATGCATGCTAATACTTCACATTGTTTAAAACTGAAATATTTAGGTCAGCTATTTTACCTAATTTAAAAAAAAAGTTTTAGATGCTTGAAATGGAAAAAATAAGAAAATCACCTTTCCTCAACCTGGACTGCAGAGAGCAAAATACATAGGAAAAGTATAGGAAAACACAGTATTCAGAAGGACATCAGAACTAGAATTCCATATGTATAAATGAACCCTTCACAGACATTAGGATGTTAAATCACTGCGTGCTGTGCTTGAAATAGCATTAACAATGATTTGGTGCGGAACAGAACAAGTGTAGTAACCCCTATCAAATTAAATTAAATTGAGATCACAATGTAACAGCTGTTGTAATTGTCCCCAAACTCCCATTCTCCTCTTGGAAAAGCTACAAAATCAACACTGGAACTACTCAACTGTGTGCTTCAATTTGCTACATTCAACTTTAAACATCAGAGAGAAAAAACTTACCTTCCAGACCAGGTCCAAGTGTCTAAATTCAGGCAGTGCAAATCATTCATCCTCGTTTGCTAAAATAAATTAAAAAATAAAAAAAAAAAAAAAAAAGAAGAAAGAAAGAAAATGTCCCAGTTAAGTTGTATTAAATAAACAATGAGCAACGTATTTCAGTGATACCATCCTAGGACAGAAAGAAACCTGTACCCATGTGCCTTAAAACAACTCTGCGCTGTGAGGCAGATGGAAAGCATTTCTTCTAAAAAACAAACAAGCAAACAGTAACAACCAAAAAAAACCCACCAGGCAACTCTCTGAAAGTAAACTGTCAGGAGTACACCTGGTAATAAAGCAGCGGCACTACGGAGTCACTTCTATTCTTAAACGATCTTTAATGAAGAGCTATGTGATACTCCTGGAGATGTGTTTAATTTTCATCCACAGAACTTGCAGTAGGCAATAGCAGAAGGTACAACACTCTATACGTAGCTTCTCAATTTTTATTTGCATTCTGGTTGTAACTACACATCTTCCTGGCTGCCTGCTCACTTATTTCTTGTAACATACTCAGTGCATGACATCCCACAGGAAGTTAAAAACATCTGTGTTTGTTTTTCTTGTCTGGATGGCAAGCCCTTTCACAAAGTTACTGCTGTCAATAAGGTTCCATGATCCTTTAGCATTTGCCATGGCAATAATAAAATGCATCAGTAAGAAGAATGGGAAATCAATGCGCTTGCATATATGCCTGTGTTTTAGAATGAAGTAATTGCCTTGAAAACATAAAAGGAGGGGGACTGGGAAGAGAATGTGAGAAAATTTCTTTGCTTGAGATTGTAGCAGTATTTTCAGTGCCTTGCAGTACACCTGACTGACATTTGTGATTCCCCTTGGTAGTACTAAACAGTATCTGAGAAGTAGGGAAATATAGCTTGCCTTACCTTACAATTTCTTTCTCCTAAGGCAGTCCATAGATCTATTAGAATAAGCCTTTCTCCAGCTTGTAGATCCTTTGAGGCAGAAACTAGACTTGTCATTTAAGTCAGAATAGGAGTAGTTTTATCGCTGAGAACTCAGCCAGTTAGTGAGTTTGAGAGACTTCCAGAGCAGTCCATCAAAGCTATGGAAGGTCTCTCAGCATTTGTCAGGGAACAGCAAGGTTTTCAAGACAGCTGTGGCCTCCTCTGACCTCTTATGTGCTAGCCTGTTTCTGTCCAGGGGAAGATGATGTTAACTAGTGTTTTGTCTTCAGATAAGCCAACAGACTTAAGAAAAACAGAATAAAAGTGCTTTTGTGCGTTGCCTGAGAAACTTTACCCCCACAAGAAGGTGAATGTAACAATAGAATCTGGTCCAACTAACAGCTAGTGAGATGATCTGTCTTCCACGACAAGTCTATTCAGCTTCCTGCTCCTTCAGGTGGCTCTGAAGGAAACGAGGAACACATCACACACGCAGAAAGCAAAATGCAATTACTGAGATTCTTCTGCTGTACTTGTACACAGTTAGACACTTGAGGATAGGGTGGGGAAAAAAACAACATTGTGGCCTCCAGAATTGCAAATATTTAATCGTCTTGGAATAACAGTTCAATACAGAGGACATGGATTAAAGGAGGGGAAGAAAGAAAGGTGCTGTTATATTGCAAATTAAGCTTTCATGAAGATGCTGTTCAAGACCTCTTAGCTGACTTTCCTCTCTTTAAAAAGGCAGAAGATGGAGCAGTTTTCAGTTCCTCGGTCCCTAGGAAATCAATGTATAATAACTTTACATGCTAATGTTTCAACAGATTGACAAATGAGCAATTACATCAACTTCACTCTGAATTCAAAACACAGCATCAGTTGGACATTTCTGTCTGAGATTCAGCCCTTTAACATAGCTTTAATAAATTAAAATGTCTATCTACTCAACCCTCATTAGGGAAACTATAAAGCTCACAGTCAGGTATCACACAGGCAAGTATGCCAAGTTTTCCTGCAGTTGCTCCTGTATTTATAACTCCCAGCTACTATATTTAATCACTCAGCTCATAATCCTACATTGGTTCTTAACAGGCTCAAAAGCATTAAGCATTGTAAGAGGGTCTGCATTTCCCTCCGAGCCACAAGGACTCAGATATCTTACATATCTATGGCATATTCATTTAGATGCAGCCCAGTAAACATTAACCAAGATCTGCTTTGTCTCAGGACTAGCATTCTAGTGTGATGAAAGGCACTAAGGGTGACATATTTATTGATCACTGCTGTTACAGTAAACTCAGTATAGCTCTCCAGGCTCAGATTTACAATCAAACAGCTATTACAACTCAAATCTTTGTAAAAGAAAGACTGCAGTTCAATGTATCTTCTTATCTTCAGTGACAAAAAGGTTAAAAAGAAATATAAGCATGCATACATTAGGCATCAGATGCGTGAAGAGCTGCTGAAAAGACTGCATTACTACTTCATCAATCTTTATACGAAAACTTTCTGCTTAAACATGAGACTTCACCATCTTTTGGACTAACTTTCCTTCCTTCCCACTTTCTCCCATTCCTGATTTTCAGGGTCTTACCTGGAGGAACAGAGTCCACATAATACTTCTGAGCCTGTTTTCAAATGATTCCTGGTACAATTGATTTTGATCATCATCTTCTTTTACCAGCTCTAGCTCCAACTTTGGAAAAAGGTGCCCTTTCCTCTCAGAAGGATGAATAGGAGAAGCCTCATGACACTTCCTGGCCCTTTCTGGTTCCTTGTAGAGCCTTTTCCCTGGGAAGATTTGTATTATGGTGAACTAGAAGGAGAAGGAGGAGCAGAGCAACCCCATATTTGCTCCTTAATTTATGGACAAAAGCAAGACTTCACCCTCTGGGGGGAGGTTACTCTTCTCAGGAACCGCAGTTCTTTACTGATGTCTTTAGCTTTCCTTCCCTGCTTCGTGTCTTACATTAACTCCTCACGCCTCACTGAATGTTTCCTAAACTCTGTAAGCTTCCTTCATTTATTTCTAGAATAGAAAGTGAATTGATAATAAGGTATCTCTAAGGTGGAAATTACACTTACTACTCTCATACAAAATTAAATACAGCTTTCCAAAATTTCACTCGTCTCTGATGTCCTCCCCAAGTGGCTTCAGTGAAATTTAGCAAGTGGTTATTAAGAAAGCAGGTGCTACTTGAGGGAGAGAAAAACCCTTTCAGGCTGGAGCTTTCTTGTATTTCTGAATCCTGCAGTGAAACAGACAGAATTAACAGAAGCCAGAGGGCACGTCCTCTTAGGGCATATCTAATTACACAACAGCTCAGTGGAGAAATCACAGGTGAGCTCCAGTTTACTAATAACTTTACTTGTGGGTAGCACAGGCTGTGTGGAAGTCTTAGCTGGAGTCACAGAGCAGTTCAATTGCAACAGGCACAGTGCAGCAACCCTGGCTTAGCTTGGACACAGCACACGATGCAATCCTGTTCTGCAAAGTACCTCTGCACTACAGAGAGACTGAGAGAAAGCCAGAGGGAGCAAAGCTTTGAAGGCCACAGAAGTACACAGAAATGAATGGTAGATCAGAAGGTCCTGAGCTGCAGATTTTGTTCTTCACATTTAGTTTCTCTCCCTCTCATGTCTGTAGACTTGCTAAATGAGAGGCAGGATTCAGTTCAGCTGTGGTTAGCAAGAATTCATTTACAGACCTCACAGCCTACTGCAGCTAACTGTGACACACGTATTTGCTTAAGACCAGATACTTTTTCAGTCTCTCCCACTACCCATTTATTTCCTTAGATGTTTGTAAATCATGTTTGTCCAAACCCACAGCTCTGGAAGCTACTGTTTGCAGTTTTGCCAGACAGAGGTGGGGATTCAGCAACAATCCAAAGATTGTGAGCCTGTATCAAAGGCAACATAATGCAGACTGCTAAGAATCAACACCATCAGCCTTGGTTACTTTCCTCTCTGATTGCCCTGAAAAGGTACTTGGGTAAAAACTTTTCCCTAAGCGGTGGGAAGAAATTCAAAGTGAATAACTGACTGCATATTTGATTTCTGTGGCCATTTTCCACCTGCCTTGATCTGTGTGTCTGGTCTCCATCTGAGCAAGCAGGAGTAAGCCATTTTGTAACAGAACTGTAGGCTTTCCCTGAGAAGAACGAAAAAAATCACAGCACGACTTTTATAGCTTGAAAAATAAGGAGAACCTGAATGGGGAAAAATTACAATACCTTGAGAATTCAACGTTTAGGTTATCAAAGCTTTCTAAGATGAAGCTGGTGTATGTTCACTATAGGACATTTCCAACCAACAGTTACTTAACTCCTTTTCTTGCATACAGTAAAACTATGGAGACAGAGTGCTTTCAAAAGCTCCTTTACTGTTACTTTTCATAGCAATAGAAAGCATAAAGGCTCATCTTCTAGCTGAATACAATTAAAGGCTATGAATCAGTAACAGGTAAAAAACAGGCTAAAACTGTAGCAATTTTTATAAATATGGATGAGTGAGTACACAGTAACTTAAATTAGGTGGTTTTTTTTTTTACTTGCCTCACAGAATGTTTCTCACATTTCTTATGAATTCCAGCTCATATGGAGACGTATAAAAATATTATCTTACCTATGCTTTTGCAGCAGCTCTAAGAAGAGTTGGTACATTTTCCCTCCCATAACAAAACTAATCTGGCAAAGAACTTTCCAGATGCTTGGTGAAACCTACATTAGTTAAGACTACTCACTACTATCTCTGTTTTTAGACATAAGAAAGGGATATATATTATTAATATTGAATTGCTGCCTCAGGCCTAAATACTTACATTTATTTTATACTTCAACAGAGAAGAAGTGCAAGGAGAAAATTTCCTCTAACCAATGCTAGAAAAATTAAATGTTTTATTGAGATTTTAGTATCTCCCTACTTTCCAGTGGTAGCTTCAAGTTCCTTAGGTACAGATGACCAACCATAGGATTATACCTGTGACTTTTGTTTTCCCCCAGGTGAAAAAGCGCTAAGAAAGTAAGGAATTTAAGAGTTAAGACAATACAGTGAGAACCCAGCTTTGCTTTAAATATGCACAGTACATCATCTACATCTCTTTGCCCTTGATGATTCCTAAGTGGCAGCAGGTTTAAGACAGTGTACTAAATGGTACAGTCTTAGATCAGCTATCAAGAAAGTACATACAAACCTTACTCTTGCAGTCAAGAGCCTCTATTGGACACACAGAAAAGAGCTGTTGACAGCAATGTCTCCAATACTCTTCACATATTCTTTAACAAGGACACAAAACAGGCTGAAGGTAAAGACAGACTGCAAAACTGGAGTTCAGAGAGCAGAGGAGAGGCTTAATGGGACTGAGATGACTGCTGGCTGCAGCAGCCTGTGCTATCAGATAACGTGCTGCAGCTTGCTGGGCCAGCTTGAACTTACAGAGCCATGAGCTTTGTGTCCAGACATTGTAATCACATCCTGCTTTTCTAAATGACCATATTTCAGACACTAGTATGCAAAAAATAGTTTAAATTATCAAGCCAGCTGAAATCTGGTATTTCCAACCTTTCAGAAGCATGTGTTGCAATTGTAAATATAAAATATAAATCAAACACACTATAATAAACTTCAATTTCTCAGCAGGTAAAAATGAGGAAGAAATGACTGTTCTGACATAGTTTCCCTTTCTCTAGGAAAGAAAAATAGCACAAGCTAAAATCCTGGTTGTGTTCACTACTTGCTATCATTTCATTAAGCAATGCATAAACCTGTAATGCTGTACCAAGCACAGAATGCTAGCATCCCTCCATTTATTAAAATCTGATCTGTTGTCAGGTTTGTTCTCTCTCTGCTTCTCAAGAAGCATCTCCTACAGATGCAGGTCAGCCATTTTTGTTGATTTCTAAGCATTTACATTTATCATACAGTCAATCTGTTTTTCCCTTTTTGGTACAATTCATATTTCAGCATCAATACTGTAGACAGAAAGACAGAATCTCCATTTTGTAAGGCACAGGGGAATGAAAGAGCATTCTGAGTTCACCACTCATAAACATACTGGTTAGGCCAGTAATGCTTTGGACTTGTTTCTACTGCAAAAATAATTTGCTTTAAACAAACAAACAAACAAGAAAAAAAACCTTCAAAACAAGGAAACACAAACTCTACCAAAAAAAAATAACGTTACCACCAATAAATGTTTTAATTATACACTAACCAGCACTCGTCCTCCAAAGATGTATCCTTTATTTCCCAGTACAGCACACGTGTGGGCTGCTCGAGGCTGAGGTGGATCTCCACCCTGGAAGGATCAACAGATGTTATTTCACAACGTGGTCAAAGTGTCAGCCAAGGACTCGTGGGCAGTGGGTCACAAAGGCCAACAGGCATCGATAAATAATTTATAAGCACATCCAAGACTCCACAGGCATTAGAAAATACACACAGCTGCTAAGGACAGCTTCCAATGAGTTCCTTCAGTTGCTAATGCTTAATGTATTCCCTCCTGGTCTAATTTATCAATGATTTATTCAAGTGAAATTCAATTCATCTATCTTTACTTCCTAAGCATGAAATTAAAATAACACATCAGTAACTGCTGATATATTCCAGGAAACTTTACTTTTTCCCAGGTGCAAACTATCAGGAACTGGTACCAGACATCTCTGGGATCAGATTCTTAGTGTTTGTGTAACACCTAACAGCCACATGCTACAAAATCTTCCCTGGGTAAGTTGGAAAGAGATAGCTTTTATTTTTAAACAATAATTTCATTTTTTTGCATTTAATTTTGTAGGAATTTCAGAACATCTGGTAAATAAAACAAAACCTATGGCAACAGACCTTGTTGCCATATACCTCTAATGAGTCTTTCTGTAAACTCAGCAGGATTTTCTGAATCTCTACATTATTCTATTTAATATCAGTATTTTACTGGGAAACTGAGCATATCCACTCCTTTGGAAGACTACTGAAATACTGTATTTGCTGGAGGCTATCTGGTCTGTTTATTCTAACATGACTGCATGGCTATGAGGGATTTGTTGAAACATTTTTCAATACTAGGCCCCAAGAGAATACAGCAACTGCATTTACCCAGCACTCAAATAATGCACACGTAACCCCCTCATATTAACCAACATTTGTACTTCACAAATAAAGACTGAAGGCCTCATCTAACAATACAGATAGGTTTTCTGTCTCTCTCTTGGCCTTTTTTAAGGCTATGAGGGCTGAATGTTAAACCAAGAGAGCGTCAATTTCAAGACCACTGTTGCTATCACTCACACTGACTGACCTATCAGCTTTATGAAAAAGGAGAGGGGAAAGAAGGGAGGAAGAAATCCCCTGGCCAGCCTTAAATTCTCATAGGGCCAACTCTCAGTTATCTGTGAAAATTCATCCACGTTGCAGATTAATTATACACGGTTGCAATCAACCAAACAGCTTCACATCAAAACAGATCAACAGTGTTCATCAACACCAGCAGACACCACTAAAACCATTCATACATTTACACCACACACTGCCCAAAGACCTTTGCTGTGTCCCAGAAGGCCTCTGCTAGGACATGCAGCATGGCTTAATGCTTATGCCCCAGCTAAGGAACGTTTCCAGCCCTGAAAGAACTACAGGACAGCCCAAGAGGCAGCAGAATGCATTCTGCAGGACCCACGTGTGCTGTGCAAGGGCCACTGAAATGCCTCCATGCTCTGACTGATTCTCAGCACCTCTCTGCTATACACAATAAATGGTTTTGGGGAGTATTCCAGTGCCTCATCCTTCCAGTAATGGAGAGCTGACAGTAATTTTGTATTCCCAACATCTGAAGTCTGAATACAAAGCTCTGCATTCTAGGTATGAAATACTGTAGCATCTAATCTATACATATTACAAATAGCTCTCTGAACCTTTCTATATTTTTAGTCTCAGAACATGACAGAAAAAACCCAACACCCATCTAATCACATCCTGGAGGGAAAAAGTCACGGTGTCAAACCTTGAGTCCTGCACATTTCAGTTCTGTCAAGCATCCCCGTTCAGCGTTACAAACCAGTGTGACACTATGCATATTCAAATTGTCCTGACATCAATTTCTAGAGCTTGGGAACTATTCAAAATGCAGGAAAAGCACAATTATCTCAGACAGCAAGACTTAAAAACACTCACTCTAATTGCGGGTTGAGACCAAGTTTGTGTGTTTGTATCAAAAACATGAACATCATTATGCCATCCCCAGAAAATCTGTCCTTCCTAAAAGAGAAGTTCAAAAAATAAAAAATGTTATTTCATCTTAAAATTTATGTGCTCATTAAAGGGTACAGACTGAGAAGTGATCTACCAAAAAGAAAATAAACTAAACTATTTTATTTAAGGAAAAAAAACCAACGTGGGCTGTTTTAAAGTGCTTTAGAGGAACTTGGGTGTGGTTAAAGCAGACCAGCAGCAGTCAGGAGCATTAGGGATGATGGCTCTTCTGCAAACGAGCTTTGAGCTCCAAAATCAGTGGCTGCAGTAGGCAAGTTCTACAATATATCTTATTGCACAGAGTAGTACATTTCCTGCAAGGCAATATAGCATGTGAGCTAAGGCTCTGCACTCCTTTGAATGCATATCTATTAATTCATGTGAATGAACACTTTCACCAGACTCCTTCCTTCTGCCATCTGTAGGAGCTCATTACAGTCATTAAAGCACCTGGCATTGACTTGGTAAAGAAATTAAGAAAAACCACCAGTGGTGTTTGTCCATTACATCTGTGAAGCTATAATATTCCCTGCTATTACTTCAAGGAAAAAAAGAAAATCTAACATACTCTGGGAGTTCTATGCTTAAAATACACTTTCAGATTTTAAATACTGTCTTTGTTTTTACTTTCACAGCATTTTGTTTCATTGTACTCAAAGCCTAGCAGTGGGTGCTACAAATAAATGCTCAACCCCATTCCAACATGTAAATTTGAGTCTTCTATTGAAAATCTCTTGTTGCATTTGTGCTGATTCTACACATAAAAGACAATCAAGCAGACCTTCACACCTAGTGAGCAAAGCAAAAAGGCCATGTTTTGACAATCAGGAAGGACAAAACATTCTAAGTTGTGGGAAATCCCTTACCCAAAATGCATCATGGACATCAAAGCAATCACTCAGCTCATTGTGCTTCCTACAGCCATAGCCCCCAAAATATATTAGCCTGAAACACCAACAGAAAAAAGAAGTTAGCTTTTAACATAGCATTCAAATGAATAAGCTGTAATGATCAGTTTCAAGTTTTGCTTTACCTACTGTATTATGAATAACACAAATACAAATATTTCACGTTGCACCTAATTACACAGAGAACCTTTCCAGCACGAAGGTAGAACTGTTACAGTCCTCTGTGCCTGACAAAAATCCACCTCTATGAGGAGGGAGATACAAGATACCTCCAAGTGCCCACTCTGCATTCCTCCACCCACAAGTTTATCACAGTCATGTTTGCAGACACAAGGCAAAATGACACATTACACACAAGGCAGAACATCTCCACGCTTTTTCCACTTCCCATGCTTCTGCAATATTTGTTAGCTTTCCATAAACCCCCTTTTTCAACTAATGTTCCCAAAGCTCAGCTCACAAAGTCCTTCCATCACTTAAGAGATTCTTCCAACTAAAAGTTACTAAACATGCTGCAGGCATCCTCACACACCTCCCAGCCTCATATTCCACCCATCAAAGAGCCATCCACAGGAAATGGCTCCTAAAGGTTTGTTTAACTTCAACATTTGAGGGTATTTGGTATCTTGGGAGAGGGCAATTAAGGAAATGATGCCATGGTGAAGTCATTCCAGACTGACATTCCTAAGCAAACAGTGAAAGCATCCTGCAGTACACTAAGATCTGCAAATTCACACACCTTGTGAAATTCTAATGTGCATAGCTGGGCCCCACGTGCTCTTGTTAAGCAAAAAGGTTATGCTGGTTACACTCTGCCACCTGAAACAGGTGATCTCAGTGTACTGATTAAGTTTATCTATTCAGACTACCGTTTAATTTTGAATGATCTTGCATTAATAGCAAATGAAGTTTGCTTCAAATACACGGAGACACTGGAGCAGGTTGCCCAGTGAGGCTGTGGATGTCCCTCCCTGGAAGCACTCCAGGCCAGGTTGGATGGGGCTGGGAGCAACCTGCTCTAGAGGGAGGTGTCCCTGCCTGCAGCAGGGCTTGGAACTGGATGATCTTAAAAGTCTTTTCCAATCCAAACCATTCTGTGATTCTAAGACACAATTTTCGTTTATCTTGTAGTTAAATTAGAATTACAAAACCAAGATACAGCCCAGATACATCATACAGCTTAATCTGAACATCTCTAATGTAGAATCCATAAGAATCATTTACATTTTTGAAATGTTTAGCATACACCATTTTCTTACTCAATCACAATAATTTTGTCATAAATAGCTGACATCACTCAGTTGTGACAAGAGATGCCACAATCCAGCAACCTTCCATAATAACTGTAAAATCTGATGTAAAATATGTTTTAGCTAAGCATTTTTTTCCCCAAATATGCTCAGTAATTATATAACACACACATGGGCTGGCTTGGATCTCACAATGCAACGATACTGACATGTCCTTGCGATTCTTAGTACTTGTATGCTACTGAAAATACTGCAAAATATACTAAATATACCCTATTGCAGGAAATAAATTAATAGTTACATAACGCAACAGAAATTCAATGTCATTTCTACACTGATTTCTTTTAATTTCTGGAAGTAATACAAGTGCAATAGTTTTTACCCAAAGCCTCAAAGCAACCCAGAAACTTTCCCCGAGCTTCCTAACCCTCTCCTAAAGCAGGTTTATACTTACCATTCATTCAGCTCACACGTGAGAGAACTCTGGTATAAAGTTAGGAGAGTCACACAAAATCCCACAGCAACTCAAGCTAAGATTTAGTGTCACACATCACCAGCCTGTGTTCTCTTCATGTTATAGCACTCCCTCTCTGCAGTCAATACATAATACATATTGTTAATGTGTTACCTGTCCTTGTACACCCAGCAGGAGAGCTTGTCACGTGGTGTAGGAGGTTGACCTTTAAAATTGGTGATTTTTTTCCACCTATAGGTTCCATTTTTTGTTCGCAAATTAACATAATACAGCTTAAAAGAAAAACAAAATCACAACATTTTCAGTATAAATGGTGCTGAACGATCTGGCACAAAGCAGCACCAAAAACAACATCCCTACCCCCAGAATATGCTGTTCCTTTAAAAATAAAAACACAGTCTGAACTCTATAATAGATAGCAACGCATGGCAAGAGCCCCATTCACCACAAAAACACAATTAAAATATGAGTAGCCAGTTTCCTTGCCTTCTCTGTCGGACCAGTATAGTAATACCCTGCTCCTCCTGCCAACAGAAGCCTTGTAAGCAACCTGCAACAGCTCTCTGTTCAGTTCTAATAACCACAGGTATTTCTCCCTAACCTAAATGGAATACCCACACCAAAATCAGCAGTGTTTGAGAAGGGACTGCTAACCTGAAAGGTGACGGCAGCCTTCCTATCAGTTATTTTCTAGTCTGCACTGAACTCTGCCTGCCTCTGCACTAAATGATAGCAAAGCCGCTTCGCTCTTTGGTTACTGTGAAAACCAGCAGTTATATTTTATCTACTGCTCATTATGTGAGGAAGGTAATCACCAAAGTGATGTACAAGATCAATTTCAACTGCCACTATCAATTTTTTTAAAGTCCTCAGGAAAGCTCTGGCAATTCTTAGAAAGAAAATGTTTCAAACTGAGTCTCGTTCTGAAGCTACGATTCAACAAAAATCCAAAGAAAAAAATAAATGGAGTTGAACATTAAAACAGAAAGGGGTTTTTTTTGGTCAGTTTAAAAGTACACTTTTTCTACAAATGAGAGTTTTTCCTTACATTTCTCCTTATTTCAGTCAGGTCAGTATTCCTGTTTGTTCAAATACGACACGTTATGAAGAAAAGAACACAATACCCGATTACTGTATCCTTTATCATCAAATCCACCAAAAATGTACAGCTTCCCATTAATGCTCGCTCCACAGCTTCCTGACATGGAGGTAGGCAGCTCTCCTTCCATCAGGTGCATCGTCCTGCAATTTGGCAAGTATATTAAGTCTCACAATGCTGTTTCCAAACATGCTAAAATGAACAAACTCAAAGTACAGGTATTAATGATTTTTGTGCTTAAAGCTAAAAACACAGTTGCAGTGTGCTGGCTATAACTAGTAGAAACCACAGCTGATACAGGAAGTCAGGCTCTGGTGGTATAAGAGTGCTTTCACTTGAATATTGTGCATGCATTTATGAAGCTTCTCAAATTAAAAGGCTATTATTATGGCTAAAAAAATAGTTATTAAAACACTGGAAATAGTATTAGTGATAATTGCAAAAACTCCTGAAATTAGAACATGGTATTGTTCTTTATAACTGAAGTGGAGAACTGAGGCAGAAGTAGAAATACAGGTCTGCAGTTCTCACTAATTGTGGTACTGGGTCACACCTCAATCAGTCACTCCTCAAACCACAGTTTGCACTGTATTTAGCACAACACAAAAGCTTTAACAGTGTCAGTTTCATCAAGGAGCATTCTGTCCTCCTGCCACAGTCTACAGTCCCCAGCCTTCTCCTTGCCAGTGTCACCTACAAACCAGTAATTTCTGTTATGTCTCTTTCCTCAGGCACGGCCTCCCATCTGGTTCCAGTATTTCTTTTCTCTGCTAGGCCTACTGACCAGACAATCCCATTCACTCCCATCGTTGCCACATCTGCACTTCAACCAGATGCCTTCAGTTTCTACCACTGGTGACCATAGAGAAGAGAAGGATTCATGCAGCTTTGAGTTCTGATGCTCGACCTTATTCCAGCCTACAAGAACTGAAAGCAGTTTCCTTTAAAAGGAAAAGCTTTACATGTCCTTAATCACCAGATGTGAACGATGAACGTGTGACCTTACTGAACACTGTGCTGGACAGCAGCAGTACGGGGCACTGTGCCCAAGTATCTTTGCTCTGCCATCAAAGCCACCTTCCCCTTCTCTGCTCTTGCTCTCTCGTTCCTGTGTCACGCTGTGCACCCAGCTGTATGCACACAACTGCTGGTGCTGGAAGTGAATGAGCTCAAGAACTGATCCATCTGAAAACTAAGTCTGAAAAAAAGAGAAGTTAAATATAACTCGGATCGCTTTCCTGATCCAATTTCCTACGTGCCCATATAAACAGCTGTACCAACACACATGATACAGCAACACGGGATGGGGGAAGGAATAAGAGAGGATATGGGGTTGCTTTGGCCAGCCCTTTCACCAAAAGACACAGACAACAACAGCCAGAATGCTGCTTTCAAAGTCAGTCATTTGACCAAAGCGTGGAATTTCATACATACTATAAGATGCTCTCCTGAGACAGACCTGATCCCCTTCTTCCTCAATTTCAAATTGATGTTTTTCATATGGGTAAGCAAGAAATACATAAACAGTTGGGATACTAGAAAAGCAGCTGGCAGAGCACACATATGAACCCAAATTAATCCTACTTGACAGACTGAACACAATTACAGTAGATTCCGTAGTAAAACTTTAAACAGAAGCATTATTATCTCTCTGTATAGGATATATAAGCAGAGTAAATAAAAAATGCAATGATTAAAGTGCTGAAGACATGCAAGATTTGGTTAGTTAAGAATTACTTTTACAAATGCACTCATAACACAGTTATAAGTAATAGCACAAATACATGTAATTGTAAATAGATCTACAATAGTCCTTGAACATTAATGTATGGAGGACAAGGCACAAGTAAAATACATCTATTCTAACAGCAGAGACTTAAGTGGCCATTTCAAACGTTCTTTCAAGAAAAAAAGCAAAGCAAACCCCACAATCATATTTAAGCAATTAATGTGTAATTTGGAAGTACACATGTCTGTTTTCCAGTCTTCGCATTACACACCTGCAATGTGAACTCCCAGTAACCAATAACTCACATAACTGAAGTCTCTGCATGGCAGCTAACTATAACCTACACAAATACCAATTTAGTATATTAATTAAATATAAATAATTCAACTTACCATAACCCGCTATCCATTTCATAGATCCAGAGCTCATCATTAGGCAAATACACTTCATTTTCTTCAATCGACTAAAACGGAACAAAAAAAAAAATCAGATGTTTAATCACTCATATATTATGCACCATATATTTTAAAATGAATACCAGATCACGTTACTTTGCAACATGGAATGCTCTTAAGGATATGACCTACCAGAACAGTCATGCTTTTTTGCTCTGGTCGTTACCTTTTCGAGCACGCAGCTCAATAATGCTAATAATTTACATTTTATACTAGAAGTTCAAAGAAGATGTTTTTCCTTTTACTCTGGGTCCTTCCTCAAGTCACTGAGGCAATTCCAGGCAGAACATAGCAAAACAAAGAGAAAAGCATAACTGAAAGGCACATGAGCAGTTATGGGCAGCAGCAGCATGAAGGACCTTAACCAATTGTCAAATACAGAAAAGCTTAATGGATGTCGTAACATGAAGAAGAAACCCGACTGCTCTGTGAAACAGGAGCCGTATATGAAAGAAAAATAATTTGGGAAAGGATACGAGAAAGGATAACAGCCAGGAAAAGCAAATCTGAAAGAATGTGATGGCAGAACTCCAGCTGGGCAACTATTGTGTCATTATTGCCTTAACCTTTGCGAGGAATTAAGGGAATAAGCAGCCAGAGAAATAAAAAGCATAGATAAAAATGAAATGAACGAGAGTACACGAGCTCATACACAAAATGGAAATGTAGTTATTAATTACTGATATTCATTACTTGCCCTTATTATTACCTCATCAATTTGAGAGGTGTTGAACAGGCAAACAAGCACTACCTTTGGTACACTTTATCCTGCCAGGTGCCTTTCTCTGCCATAGCATACAGTTCGCAGCTTTAAAAGAAGCGCAGAAGTCTGCTATATTTAATCTAGGTACAACTGAGGCCAAGTATTTGCTGGAGAACCAGCTCTGAATAATGTCACTGGGCAATAGGCCACCAACAGCACGTAAAAGGTAAAAACAAAGTCATTTGTTTTTGTGAGCGGTTACACTAGTCAGGTCAATCCAACCTGCGTTTCTGAAGACTATGGCACAGAGATTTCCAGGGAGTTAGATGCTGCACAGCTATAGAGTATTACTGAATTTAAGGGCAAAGAAGTGTATTAGACCTTCCTGAATGTGACAGATCATCTGATGTGTTCATATTTGAGAGGCAGTTAACTTCCTCAAAGATAAACCACGACATCTTCCTCCTACACCACCTACTGAAGGCCCTAACAGGAAAGAACCCTGCAGGAACAGCTCACAGGACACTTCACAGCTTCCCAACAGCCCTTCAGTTTCTCTCTATATATTTTCAATACTGGCAGCACAACTCCTTTCGGGTCAACTGATCAAGCATGGGAGCACAGAAATCCTTCAGATTCCACAAGCCACTCAGCTCTATCCCATTGCTTAAATTGAGCACTTCAGAGAAGAACTAAGAACCACAAGAATTTGTTTACACCAGAACTGACAGTGATGCCTTGAAGGCAAAGAGCAGGTGTGTTTTCAGCCTGATACCAGCTTAGCTGTGAACCAACAGAACTGCTTTCTAAGGAAGAAAGCATGCTGCACTTAACTACTAATAAGCAAAAAACGCAGGGACTCAACAACAAGAGCACAAATTACACGATGGAGAAAGAAAAACAAACAACAAAACATCCGCAAATTAACGCTGACACGCCCGAAAGGAAGGAGGAAAGGTATTTAGCCCAGAGCGGTCGATCACAGGTTGAGGAAGGGTCGGGCTCCAGGCAGCCTTCCTGAGCGGGGTTCAGTGAGAACCCAGCAGGACGGTTAGGAGCACGGCGGGCTCCTCCCTCACAGCAGCCACAACAGCCACGCCCAACGCCCACCCCGCGCGCCGCCGCCGTTTGAACCTCCCGCCCCCACGGAGCGCGCCGCCGCAACGGCCAATCAGCGCCCGCGCTGAGGTAAACAGCGCCGCGCCGCCGGCCCGCGAGGGGCTGCACCGGCCGAGGGGGCGACGCGGAGCGGCGGGGCAGCCTCCTCTCAGTCTTGTCAGTCCCCCGTCAGCCCCGCTTAGTGCCGCTCCCTCACACCAGGGCGCCTCAGCCCCGTGAGGAGTGCGCGCCCCCCCGCCGCGCGGCTACGCGTCCCCCGCTCGCTTTCCCTCTTCTCCCCTCGCCCTCGGCGCCCTCCGCCCACCTCCTCCCGCCTTACCACGTATCCCCCCCACACGTAGAGAAAGTTGCCGTCCACCACGGCGCAGTGACCGCTCCGCTCCTCGGCCACGCAGAACTGCTCCATGGAGTCTGCCGCCATCTTAGGGAGGAGGAGGAGGAGGAAGCAGCTCGCGTGCCTCAGCGCTCGCGCCCCGCCAACGTCTCCTCTAAGAGAGGCTGCGGCTCGGCGCCGCTCGCTCCCCTCGGGCGGACGGGAAGCGAGGAGGGTCCAAAGGGTGGGGCGGCGGCGGGCTGCCCTCTGCCCTGTGCCCCGGCGCTGCAGGCGGGGCAGGCTGGCGGCGGGGCTGTGCTCAGCTGGCTGTTCGCGGCTCTCCCGGAACGGGCACTGTCAGAGAGGGTGCACAGCCGTGTGTATCTGGTGAGGGGCACGGAGAGATGGATTTGAGGCCTGAAACCTGACGGTAAAAGCACGGGAAGGTGCCTAGAGTAGGATACCTGAACATAAAGCCAGTGCAGGAGTCGGAAGAGAAGCTTGTGTTGAGGCAGAGCTCAACGTGGGACGTGGCTTAGGACAACCATAGTGAAACTTGGCTTGTTCAGCATGGAGAAAAGAAGGCTGCGGGGTGACCTCATTGCAGCCTGCAGTACCTAAAGGGAGCCTGCAGACAGGAGGGGAATCAACTATTGGAAAGGGGAGAGAACAGCAGGACAAAGGGAAATGGTTTGAAGTTGAGGGAGGGCAGATGGAGGTTGGATGTCAGGGGGAAGTTCTTTGCTATGAGAGTGGTGAGGTGCTGGAACAGCTGCCCAGAGAGGCTGTGATGCCCCGTCCATCCCTGGAGGTGTTGAAGGCCAGGTTGGATGGGGCCCTGGGCAGCCTGGGCTGCTGTGAAATGTGGAGGTTGGTGGCCCTGCATGGCACAGGGGGGTTGGAGCTTCGTGATCCTTGAGGTCCCTTCCAACCTGGGCCATTCTGTGATTCTCAGAAACTTGCTTGTCTGGCTCCTGCCAAACAGCAGCTGTGAAACACTTTCTGATAGAAAAACAATTGTGTAGCATTTCAAACCACTGACCTTAGTGAGGACTATTCTGTGAATTGCTACCATTTGATCTTCAGCTCTAAAGCAGATGAAGTGAGAAGCTTCCAACCACAGGTGGCAGAGCACTGCAGGGGGATCCCAGGGCTGCTGTGCAGGATCTGCATGTTGGGGCCACTGCTGAACTTAACTTCATGGAGCTGGTGCTGCAAGCTCACTGTGAACTCATCAGGGAATCATTTGAGTTGGACCGGACATATAACGGCCATCTGTTCCAATTCCCCTGCAGTGAACATGGACATCCACAGCTCCATCAGGTGCTCAGAGCCCCAGCCAGCCTGACATTGAACATGTCAACTCCCATCATGATTCCAACTACAGGTTTTGTCTGTTTGAGTGGTCACTACCCTTCAACCTCCCCCAACACACAATCCTCCCTATTGGCTTGCCCTTGAGCAGCAGGCTGAGATATGCATTCATTCCCATTTTAGCTCCTGCATTGTTCAGTCAACAACCCAGTGAGTTTCAGCCAAAGAGTGGATCCATTTGGAATGAATGGAATTTGAAATAATCCAGGTACAGCTCTTCACGAGTAGCGGTGTAGAATTTCTGAGAAACATATATTTGAACATCTGTAAGAGGACACAAAGTGAGACACACTTCCTGTGATCAAAAAGGGAGGACATTAACTGTCAACAGTTGTTAAGATTAATAAAAGTAAGAATGATGCACTGGGATGATGATTAAAGCACAGGAAGGAAACATGTGATAGAGAAACACATCTGTAAGTCAAGTAGAGCTATGATGTGATCTCAGAAAGATACTTCGGGCAGTATGAAGTGGCTCGTGTTTTTTGACCAGTGGAGTACTGGTCAAAAACAAGATAATCTGTCATGTTTGGTGTAACAAGAATTCCACCCATCTATCTTTGGCTCTAGGCAGATGTGCTGTGTGATCATGGAATCATAGAATGGCTTGGGTTGGGAAGGGACCCCAAGGGTCGTCAAGTCTCAGGCCCCCGCTATAGGCAAAGCCACCAACTTCCCCATTTCATAGCAGCCCAGGCTGCCCAGGGCCCCATCCAACCTGGCCTTGAACACCTCCAGAGATGGACGGAGCATCCACAGCCTCTCTGGGCAGCTGTTCCAGCACCTCACCACTCTCATAGCAAAGAACTTCCCCCTGACGCTCAATCTAAACCTTCCCTCCTTGAGCTTAATTGATCACGAACCATCAGACTGTCTCAGTCAGCTCCCTCCTCTCAAGCCATGTATGCTGATGCCATAGTAGTCATGTCAAGAGTCATTGCAAACTGGAGGCGAAGAGCTGGGCCTGGCTTCCAGAGCACAAGACAGATGGTTCTGGGAACAGAAGTCTGTAGCTCACACTGGAATACTTTTATATCTCTGGTGGGAGGCTCCAGGCAACCTAACAGAACCCCAAGCACTGCAGGGTGCCGCAGGAATTTCCTCTGTGTTCCTGGTTTGGTCATGTGTTTTAAAAGAAATTAATATTTCTTATGTTAGAAGAGGGCTACCTTCCTTCTCTGGGAGAGACACTGGCAAAATCAGATTTTATTTTATTTTATTTTTTTTAAGAAGGAAAGGCAGTAATCTTAGCAAATAGAAGAACTTACATAAGGGTTCATAATTCACACCTAGCTGAGATGAAAAATGGATCGTGTTTCCTGCCAAAATAGCTGAGACCTGTCAGATGGTAGCTTTATATCTAAAGAGAGTAGATAGATTCAGCTTCGCCCATGAGCTTCCTCCAGATGAGGGGAATTGATTATAAATGATGCAGTTGAGAATGGACTACGGAAAATAAGCTGACATTTTCAATCTGGCTTTATATCCCCAAAGTGTTTTGATTGAGGATCTTTCTTTCAGTTACTTTTTGAGCCTTCTGTGAAACAAAGCTGTACTTTAGCAGATGAGGCTGGGAGTATTTTGATGAAGTATCAGTCGTTTTTTGGCTGGAGAGGAGGCAGCTGCCCCACAGGACTGGAACTGCAAGAGGTGCAGTGCATTTACTGTGCTTTGTACCAGGACTTAGTATGCTGTGACAGACTTCAGATGCTCAAGCTCAAAGGAAAAAATGCGTGTAATTCCCTGCCTATGTGAAAAGTCAGTCGTGGGGACATTTATAGAATCACAGAATCGCTCAGGTTGGAGCTCCCAAACCCCAACCCCAGCCCACCCTACCATGCCCACTGCCCACATCCCTCAGTGCCACATCTCCACAGCTCTGTAACACCTCCAGGGAAGGTGACCCACCACTGCCAGGCAGCTGTGCCACTGCAGCACTGCTCTTTTGGAGAAGAAATCTTTTATCCAACCTGATTCATCTTTAAAGATGCTGGAACATTGACAGTCACTGCTGCAGGGCGATGAACTGAAGAACTTTGAGTTCATCTTCACACGTCAATGCTCATCTTCAGCATGGAGCTGCTGTAACGTGAAGCTGTGGGTGCAGATCAATAGAAATCTTTCACAGTGAGGGTGGTGAGGAGCCCACTGGAAAGGGCGGCCCAGGGAGGTGGTGGAGTCACCAACCCTGGAGGTGTTCAAGGAGCGTTTGGATTTTGTGTCGAGGGACGTGGTTTAGTGAGAACTCTGAGCGAGTTTGACTTATACAAAATTTGGGGACAACTGACATTTGTGAACACGATGTTTGGATGGGACAGATATGTCAGAGCAGAAGAAAACAGACCAGGATCACCGCGTGCCCTTCCTTTACTAAAGGTGATGAGCAACAGACCGCCCAATTCCAGTACACTGCTGACAGCTGCGACCCAGGCCTGACGAAACTTAGACCAACCGATCCGAGAGAGAGGAGAAATTAAGAGTCGAGCGATCGAGCGCGAGAGCTGCAGCTACACGCGGCATCCCGGCCGGCCCGCGGCCTCCTCCCACCCCGGGGCAGGGCCGGAGCGGCGGGGCGGCGCGGCGCTGCTGGGCGCCAAGCGGCAGCCATGGAGCCGGAGCGGCTGCGGCGCCGCCTGGGCTGCGCGTTCCGGGCGCGCGGGCTGATGCTGCGGGCGTGAGTAGCGGGGCGCGGGGCGGGCGCGGAGGCGGCTGCAGGCCTCGGCCGGGCTCGGAGGCTCCTCTCGGGCTGCCCGAACGCCTCCTGCCCTGCCGTGGGCCTCTTCCGTCCACCTCCGCCAGTCGCTCGGGTCTAGGGAGCGCCAAAAGCTGCCTAAAAGCTCTCCTCCGTCCCCTCCCCGATGAGCTGCCGCGTTGTTGGGTCGATACTCGAATTTCGCCTTTGAGGATTCTGCATAATATCAGCTCTGCTTTGTATCTGATGTGAATAGATTGTGATTGTTTTGAGCGAGGTCCTGGCTCTTTCATTAGGAGACCGAGCCCCGAGCCCGCTGTTAAACAGCAATGCGAAGGTCGGGCCGTTAACCGAGAGCCAGTTTGATTGTCTGGCAGAGGATGGTAATAAGAAAATCGTTATCTTTAACTGCAAGAGTGTATTTAAGGATGAGGGAAGAAATGGATTTGTAATTCTCATTTAATTTAGAATGTGTGATACTGAGGGACGTACGTGCCTTAATGGACACGGTGAGGATTGGTTGGGCTTGGGGATCTTAGAGGTCTTTTCCAACATTAAATGATTCTGTGATTCTACAATAACTCCAATATCAGAGCTACTGATAAAGTGGAGTGAATCCTGCAGAAGGCAGTTGAGGCTATTGTGGGCTTGCAGTACCTGAGGGATGAGCCAGCTCTGTTCAGCCCTTGGGATGGAAGATGGAGATGATCTAGCTGTCCAAAAGGGACTTGTGGAGAGAAGGAGCCACAGCACAGAGAAGGTGTGAGAGACAGCAAAAACAGCTCTGGTTTTGGTCTCCTTGGTTCAAAAGAGATATTGAAAAATGGGGGAGGGCTCTGTGGAAGACCACCGAGGTGATTACAAAGTTGGAGAATGTAGAGTCGTGGGATTGTTTGAGTTGAAAGGGACCCTTAAAGGCCATGTGGTCCAATTCCCCTGCAATGAGCAAGGACTCCAACAGCTCCATCAGGTGCTCAATTCTGTCCAGCCTGACCTTGACACGTGGAAAAATGCTAAGGATTTGGGTTTGTTCAGCCTCAAGAAGGAAAGGCTCAGGGAAATCTAACCCCAGTCTTGTTCAAAGGTAATTAGGAAGAAGGAGGAGGGACTTCTCAACAACACACTGTGACAGGACAAGAGAGCACAAGTTTAAAAAAAAAATCAGTACTAACAGTTTCTACTTTTTTAATCAGAAGGCATTTAGTGATTGTATGCACATCTGCCAAAACTGACGCAGTTCATATGAACTTTACTGAATATTAATTGCTTCTTGAGCTAACTTTCTTTGTTGACATTAGGGAAGCTGTAAAATATCTCACTGAAACTCTTCAGTCCCTCAATGAAGAAGAGTTTGAGGACGTAATTGACAGAATCATCGATGCTGTTGAAAAACAGCCTTGTAAGTAAACACTTTTTTCCTAAGCTTGCTAAGATTATCTTGCACTTACAATGTTATTTAGACAGAATTACTGACAACTTATGCACTGCAGTGTCACTCTGGTCTAGGAGGTTGATCAAGATAGATGTATCTGTTGTCATTTTGTTTTGTTAAATACTGAAGTTTGTAATGTCAGCAAAAGTCAGTGTCACTTTGCTGTTTGAAAAGTTGGCAAGTTGGTAGCTCCTGACTTTTGGATTACAAGAGTAGTGAAATTCTTCACTGCCAGCTACTAAAAGCTCCTAGCTGAGTTTGCGTGGGCATCTTTGTATATGAAACTGTCATCTAAAACACTCAAATAAACCCAAGAAATAGCAAGAAGTTAGTTCACTTGTTATTCTGTAGCCCAGGTCCAGAGAAATATTAATGTTGTTGACAGCTGTAATTTTCAGAGCCTCGCTGTATCTGTGAGAACAGTTACCTCCCTTTGACCAGAGGTCACTGCACTTGCATTCAGGTGGAGAGGCAGGTGGGAGTGCTGTAACAATCCAGCACATGTGCTTGAAGCAACTATGGAAGGAGTTAACAGCACCTGAATGTTCTCTGTTTGCTCAAGGCAGGTGCTGATGTTCTGTTATGCTGACTGATCTTGCAGTAATGTTGGGCTGAAGGTGCTGCTAACAGTTGGGGCACTACAGCAATGGATGAGCTGTACATCCTTGATGTATGAAAATGCATCAGATATCATAAATGGCTGAGTCCAAAAGTGAATCCAGAAAACTCCTGGAAAACCCTCTTTATGCATGAGACACTCTATGAGTTGAACTATTGCTGGTAGCATTCCCACAGCTCCTGTAATTCTGAGCATGTCTGAAACTGTCATCCTGGCAGGAGTTTTTTTTCCTGCTTAGTCTGGACTGTGTGTCCTCAGACACAGTGTCCCTAATTGTGGGCCACAAAACACAGGAGTTGTCACATCCTCACTTAAAGAACATGGCTGAAGGAGGTGGCACTGATGCCTAATATGCATTATATTATATATAGGCCTATTATTATATAAATAGGCCTAATATGCCTAATATGCTAATATGAGTTCAATAATCTGAGCTCATGAGATCCAGAAAGCCTGACCAGTTTTTTGGCTGAGGAGATTCGATCCCATATAAACGTTAGGCCTTATATGAGTTCAGGAAACATTCTCAGCTCTCCTATTTAAAGCAGGTTCAGTGAAATGTGGGCATTTGATTGCTTTATCTATAGAGTAGCAACAACAGAAGTTATAACTTTACGTTCTTACACTAGCCATTGGAAAACACAGCTGATCAGATAGGGAGCCAAAGCAGTTTGAAGAGCTGGTCCTCACCTAGTGTGAAGCCTGCTGGTACAAATTCACATGTGCACATTTTTGAGCAGTTCTAAATCAGTACAAGAAGCTCCAGGGCCAATGTAGTACCTGTGGTTGGTGTTTTTGCTAACACTGGTTTTGTACAAGGTGGGATTTTGTGCAATTAATGCCAGCGTTGTCCAGCTAATGACCGTGAGTTGCTAGAGACCACAATTTGGATGTGCTGATATCCCCCCTGATTCCTGCTGGCTCACCTGGTGCCCCTCCTGCTCTGCACTTCAGCACTGACTTACATGAGGTGTGATTTTTGTTTCCTGAGTCAGCAACTCCAGCAGTCAGGCTTGGCAGCACTGACCAAATCCTTTTGTGAATCCATGCCTTGGTGTCCTTCTCAAATTCAACAAGACGTCAGCGTTTGGAAATGTTTTTGGGTTTCAATTATCAGTTTAACATCTATGAAGGCAACAATGTGCCTGTCTCCAAGATTGTGCTAAGCTGTTTGAATACTTATATATGACAGCAATCTGTGCGATAATGTTCTGGAATAAAATTAACCTTCAGAATGTGAAAGTTCTCATCTAACACATTTGTAGTATATTTGGCAGCTTTGCATAAGCTATAATTGTCTTGCTGTCCGTGTTTAGTGAATTAATGGTGGGCACAATATGAGTGTGGGTTAATTTTTTGCTTGAGATGCATCCTACTGGTAAGAATATTAAGTGATCCATCCTGTGTGCTGTTACCTTTTTGAAAATATGCTTTTTTGTGTAGTAGAGAAGACTCAACCATTTCTTATAAAGTATTTGAGACCCCGACGCTTTCTTACCACTCTCCATATGCTGCACTTTTAACTCTTGGAAACTTTCTTTCCAGTGTCAACTAATATGATTGAACTGTCCATGGTGGAAGCAGCTGTCCAAGAATGTAGCCAAGCATCAGATGAAACAATGTACGGTGACCTTATTTCTTTTTATTTGATGTTTATGGGAGTTGTATGCATGCCTTTATTTCTGATTAGGAAATAAATGGCAGGCGTTTCCAGCAGTGCTACACATGCCAGTAATTGCTTTGTGCTTTGTCTTCCTGATGCTGCCTTGGAAGGTTGGTAATGTTCCTTCTTAGAAAATTGGTTCTCATGCATAGTCCTCTGGGGGACTCTAAATATAATGCCGACATTCTGGAATTAAAATTACATGGTTATGTGTTACATGTGACACAGATTGAGTATTAACCAATGAAATAAACCAATAGGGAACTTGATACTTCTGTTCGTTTCTTTATTTCCTTTTCTCCAGATGAAAGTTATATGAGGTTGTTTTTGTGACTTTCATAAGATAGCACTTGGAAAAGTTTTCCTCCAGGGTGCTGCTTTCTGCTTTTTTGTGTGCTTTTTTTGGTCTAGCAGGGCTGTTATTTGGAAAACCATGATTGATTTTCACTCTCTGATAACAAAGCAGAGAACAATTACTTGAGCTTCTGAGAGTTTTATTTGTGATTGTGATGAATGTGTTTTCTTCAGTGTTTGCCTTGTGTATTGACATCGTAATGCAAATCATGAAAATAAATGGTTTGTTAGGCATGTCAGACACTGTGATCCCACAGTTCCTCAGTGTGAAGCAAATTTATTTATTTTTGACTTTTCTCCTAGTCATTGGAACCTTTATAATGCTGATGGTTTCAATGTGACTTTTTCTTTTGTCACCTCTTACACTTAAATGCGTTTTTTGCTCCTGACAGGCTGAGGGAGCTGGGCTTGTTCAGCATGGAGAAAAGAAGGCTGCGGGGTGACCTCAGTGCAGCCTGCAGTACCTAAAGGGAGCCCGCAGACAGGAGGGGAGTCAGCTCTTGGAAAGGGGAGATGACAGCAGGACAAGGGGAAATGGTTTGAAGTTGAGGGAGGGCAGATGGAGGTTGGATGTCAGGGGGAAGTTGTGTGCTGTGAGAGTGGTGAGGTGCTGGAACAGCTGCCCAGAGAGGCTGTGATGCCCCGTCCATCCCTGGAGGTGTTGAAGGCCAGGTTGGATGGGGCCCTGGGCAGCCTGGGCTGCTGTGAAATGTGGAGGTTGGTGGCCCTGCATGGCACAGGGGGGTTGGAGCTTCGTGACCCTTGAGGTCCCTTCCAATCCAGGCCATTCTGTCATTCCATGATTCTACAACTGCACAGGTTCTCAGTGCAGAGGCCTGAAGGGAATACTGCACAGGTCACTCGTGCCTCTCTAACTTTTAAATTACAGTGCAAGAAGCTTGGGGATAAAGTTTTGTATGAAATACAAATGAAGTCCAAGACCCCATTGTCTGATAGGCAATGATTGTTGTCCTGTGCTTGTAAACCATAGTGAGGGTTCGTGGAAAAATTTTTCTCTATTCTGATTTGATGCTCTCAGAGTAAGAGTAATGGGGGGTATCAAAGAGAACAGTACCAGTACATGTAATGGAAGCTATCAACTCAGTAAATGAAGATTTGTGTAAGTTCAAACATATTCACATAAAGCACGCCAAGACTGTTCTGTTGTCAAAAAATGTACCAGAGGATACTGATAGAAATATCACAGAGAGATGTATCTTTTTCCAAATAGTGTTCATTTTGTTTTTTAATTAGAAGGTGCTGCAGTAGCCAGTAGGTAGAGTGGAGCAGGAGGTACAGTGGTAACACAGGCCAATAGAGAACAAAACAAATAGACTTCTCTTCAAAACGTTTGTTTAATTATTTTCTCTCCTTATTGTTTGTTAGTTCCACCTCAGTTAACGCTGTAAATAAATTCTCATTTCAGAGAAAATGTTTTCAACATTATTGGAGCCTTTGATATTCCACGCTACATTTATAATTCAGAAAGAAAGAGATTTCTACCGTAAGTTGTGCATATTTTAAGCTTCAACTGCTCCTTGTTTTAAGAGATAGCCTGTATTTCTCTATGTCTAAGTCTCTGTTCTGTTCTTTCCCTCTTGGGTTCACTCATCTCAAGCTCATGTGAGAAAGTAAGATAATTTTGTTTCTCAAAGCCTGCCTGACTCTACAGAGCCTATGATAAATGCTGGCTCATTAATAAGTGTGCCATTGGGTTTCTCCCACTTGGTAGAATGGAGCTGAAATGGCCATCTCTGTCTCTTCTGTGGCAGTGTATTCTGTGCTGCCTGTGATCTGACTAGCTCTGAAACTCAAGTATTTATCTCACAATGTGCCAGTTGTGTTAATGGCATTTGAGGAATACAAGAGACAGTAAGGCTAAGGGCATACATCACTAACGTAATGATTACTTTTTTGCTTTCTGTATTTGACTCTTGTTTTTATTTTTCCCAATAAATTTGGTCTGTCTGTATTTATTTCCTAGACTGTAGCTTGCAACGTCCTGTAGCTCTGGGGCATTTCTAAAGAGAGCTAAGGAACATTTACATTTACTGAAGAATTTACATTAACAGCAAGCAGCCCAGACTGCTGAGCCCAATAGAGGCTGCACTTTTGCAAAGCTGCAGGTGTTGTTAGCTGAGAAATTGATAGTTGTGTTTGTTGTGAGGCATTACAATGACCTTCATGTAATGTCATTTTCTAGTCTTGGTTCATGAATCTGCCGGTCAGCAACAACGTTCTGTGTGTCTGCAGGAGGAGGTTAATTCCAGTGCCACTTTCTAGCTTTCTAGGCTATCAGAAGCAGAGAACTCCATGAAAACATTCTGCTCATCAAAGGGAAGAAACTGTACTTGTTCACGGTCACTTAATAGGCATATCTGTTTTTAAATAATGGACTTCTGCAAAGTCCTGTTCACGTGGAAATACAGGTCTTGAAGTCTGTGATGTAGAGGAAAATTAAATTGATGTAGCCTTCAAAAACAGAAACATAGAGGCCCTATCAGAAATGTTACTCATTGCCTAAATATATCACGCAGTAGCACTATAGCTTTTGCAGGCACCTTTTAGATCAATAAGTAATTTCTGTGTGTAGAATGTACCTTTTTTAATCTTGATTTTGTTGAACTTCTTGCAGTCTGTCAATGACCAACTTTCCTGCACCAAATTTATTTGGAACTGCCAGAGATAAAGCAGAGTTGTTTCGTGAACGCTACTCCATCTTACAGCAGGTCAGAAACGGTTTTGCTTTGTTTAACAAAACACATAAACAAAATGCTTTTTCTTTTTTTGCTGTTAAATACAGGTATAGTTTTCTCAGCTGACACCATACAGCGTGATGGATGCATGTGTTTGAGCATTTTAGCATCATGTCATAAGAGCAGATTATCTATCTATATGTGTGTCTTCCTCCTGTCTCTCGTGTGTTTGACTAGCCTGTCACTGTACACAGTGCTTGTTGAGATAATGCAACCCTGAAACCCTGGGAAGCTCTCATTCAGCCTCTTCTTGAAGCACTGATGTTTGCTTCTGCCTTATTTCAGTTATTTGTTTTCCAGTTATCAGGCATGCTCAGTAGGAGTCAGCTGTGCTTTGTCATCTCATGGTGGCACTTGTGCCTTGTCCCCTGGTGCGAGCAGCTCCTGAGCAGGGTTCCCCAGCAGGATTTGCTTTGCACTGCTGTGGTGGTGGTAGCCACAGGTACTGACAGCATCTCTAGGTGGTGGCCCTGCACAGTCTGCGCTCTCAGCTCAGTCAGCCTATGGGCTCATCCCTGAGCAGGCCCTCAACTCAGTTCTTTCCTCCCATCCACTCTCCTCACATGTTGGAGTGTAACCCCGCTGTGCTTTGCCCTGCAGACTGGCATGAGCAGTGTGAGATCAGGGAGTGAATGGCTGACGTGATGGCTTGTTAATTGTTTATGAGGTGTCTGCTCTAACAGATGCACAGCACAGATCATGCCATGCACTAGCAGGTTCTGTGCAGAACCATTCACCTCTGTGCAGTCCCAACCCCAGTGAACCACCAGGAGGCAGGCAGGCAGTGAGCCCAGCTTTTTGCTGTGCCACCCCACAGTGACTAGCTTGGCCTTTGGACCAGGGTGACGTACCCCAGGGCACCAGCAACTCTGTCTTCCACAGACAGCTGCTGTTGGAAGAATGTGTACTGCAGTTTGCCTCTATCCTGGCCTCTATCCTGGCAGCCAGTTAACCACTAGCTAAAGATTTAGTCCATACAAACAGTACGTTAAGTTTACTTCTTTGTGACCTCCAGAAAAGTGAATGTTCAGGTTGCTAGTGAAGCCTGCTAGAACTAATTCCTGCATGTGGTACATGGGCTGGTAGCAATGAGTTTGTTTCAAGGAGAGGTATTTAGACTGCATGAAAAGCACTGAAATAAGTGAAAATTTCTACATGCCAAATGTATTTTCTACATGCTCTGCACTTTAGTTTTAGTGTAGCTTGCCCCTGTTTGTAAAAAAAAGAGCTCAAACTCAAAACAACAAAAAAAAGTACTTGCTTTTAGTAGGCCTGCCCTGAAGAGAGAACCAGCCCTCTTCCACACAGCCAGCGTTTCATGCAGTTTACCTTCCCTTGCTGTCCCACTGCTTTCCTCCAGGTAGTCAGAAGGAACTTTTAAAACCATTACACATGCAGTTACTTCTTTGGCTTAGTTTTGTAGTCCAATGTGAATCTATTTCTTAGAAGCAAATTATTGTCCACTGAACTGATTGTGCAAAATCAAGTCAAATGTTGCTGGACAAAATAGAGTGAGAGAACTTCATAAACTATTTTATATGGTGGTTGTAATGAACTGACTTTTTGACAGCACTCTTTTGTTTTTTAAACTATATTACTTCAATTTTGGTTTCTGCAGAGGACTCACAGACATGAGCTGTTTACACCTGCAGCAGTTGTCGTCCATCCTGATGACAGTAGGAGCAAATTCCAGGTAAAAAGTCTTTATTTCTTGCAAATGGAACTGTTGGTGTTGTGCTTTCATGCACAGTGACACCTTATTTTTCCTTCTTGTATGGGTGATTAGTGGAAATGAGTTTTTTTCTATCATTTTTAGCTTGTGTGTCAAAATGGCAGTTATGTGCCTTACCTCAGCATGATGACCAAGCTGCTTAAAAACAGCTATGAAGAGCATGAGAAATGCAGCTTCCCAAGGTGGAAATATATTAACTGCTCAGCTTTACACTTTTTTTCCTTTAACTTGAGAATATTTTTCTTTCTTTTATTGGCACCAGATTCACAAACCATTGGTTCAATAAGTTCACAACCTGAGTTTGTTCTCTTTCCATCTCAGTTTTCTCGTATTAAATACTCTTCTGATGTGATGTAATTATTACATATTTTAAAAGAAAAAATGCACACAAATGTCTCTCGGCACCAAGCAGGTTTTGTTTTGAACAGCTTGCCTGTTTCTGCTTGTTCAGAGCATGGCATCTTGTAGGAAAAGAAACGAGTGACCTTAGCTGAGTTGAGCTTGCATCTCCACGCAGGCTCTGTAGGCATCTTTCTCTCTCGACAGCTTCCTGTTCTCCTGTCAACAGTGCCAAGAGCATCTATTGCTTATGCCTATGTTCCAGGAGGATTTTCTCCCTTAACTGCATCTTGGCAGACCAAAATGAGTTTGTCCAGAGAATGCAGACAGCCTTGTGTGTGGTATCACTGATGTTACTCGGGAGTTTTCTCTGTCATCCATCTAAGGCTCCTCAGCAGAAATAATTAGTGTTACTGCCTGGGCGGAGGTTCAGATCTGCCCTGTGGTTCAGATCGGATTCTGCTGAAGATCCAATTACTAAAATTGACATTCATATGCAAGAGCAGAAATTGCCACTTGTTCTTTTCAGTTTTAATGCTTTTGTAAGCGAAATAGCAACAACAAAAGATATTTACTTGCTAAGCACTTCTTTGTGCTGGCAGCCATTATTGGAAATATTTCCCTCAAGTCTGCTACATTTGACATTCAGAAATGTGTCCCTGATTTTCTGATGAGCCTGAATTCTGCCTTAGCTTGTTTGTGTATTTATGCAAGAATATTTGTATATGCTGTCCGATACTTCATCTTGCTTGCTTCAGAAAAGCTATTTTGGAGACCTGGAGTTAATCTGACATGATTCTTTGCCTCTGGTTCCAGCTTAAAACAGTAGAAACTCTGCTGGGCAATACAGTGAAAGTGGGAGAAGTGATTGTCCTTGGGATGATAACTCAGCTTAAGGAGGTAAGATGCTGTTTACTGTGGATTGTATAGATCACCATTCGTTCAGCACTTGAATATATTAGGAAATGAGAAGGCTCAGTCAGCACCTCATCCTCCTGTGTAAGTTGGTGACAGAGCTGCCATCGGTGTCCATGGTGCAGGACTCATTCCTTGAAAGGAGGTTAACATTTTCTGGGTGTGCTCCTTACTGAAATGCTGAGGCCTCCAGTCACTGTGTTGCACTGCACTGCATTGGCCTGTGATTAAGAGGAGAAATACACTAATAGAGTGTCTGAGGGAAGATGCTAACATCAACTACATTGCTTCAGTTCCACATCTACGCTCCAGGTATATAATATAACACTTCACTAAACTGTTTATAAATGCTGACTGGTAAATGTCTGTGATTAAAGCATTTACATGTCTGGATATACTTTGCTTCATTAATTAATCCTGTTTTTTTTTAGGGGAAGTATTTCCTAGAAGACCCTACAGGAGTTGTCCAGCTAGACCTTAGTAAAGCAATATCCTTTATCTGTGATCTAAGAGTGGAATACATTTCCTGTAGGCCTGGGGATGCTCAATTTGAATAACAAATCCATATTGACCACTAAGAATTATGTATAGAGAGCTGCAAGTTGCAGCTCCATCTTTTTCTTTCTTTTACAAGTTTCATGGTTGCTGGAGCTCAGTGCCCTTTTGAAGGACAAGGATAGAATCCCTGCTAGTGGAAGTAGAGCGTGTTCCTGTTTGTGTGCTGTTTGTATTAAGCTGGCTGTAAAGCAAACTTTGGCTACAAGAATCAGCGTAGAAGTCCTGATGTAAGAAAAAGATATTTCTTAACCTTTCCTCACCAGTTCCACAGTGGTTTATATACCGAATCATGCTTCGTTTTGGCAGAAGGTAAAGCAGACTTCTTCTTTTTTTCCTTTTTTAACTTGGAATGAATTATTCTGCAGGTGGCTTTTGCTGCAGTTAGACGTTTGCCAAATGTGGCTAAAAAGAGAAGTCTAATCTTGGTGAGGCTTGACCATGAGCTGAGCTTGTGACTGAGAATTTGGGCCCTAAGTCTTTCCTGTTATCTCAGGCTCTTGAGGCAGAGCTCCATGACACTCTGTGCTTCTCAATGATGTTGATGAGATGAGAGAAGCCACAACAGCATTGGGAGTTGGCCTTAGTTAGCCTGTATAGAGCATGATGGAGAAGATGTGACCAGAAGAGCGTGGACTAGAAAAACTGAACAGCCTGGTCTGGTGGCTGGGGACCCTGCACATAGCAGGAGGGTTGGAACTAGATGACCTTTGTCCTTTTCAACCCAGGCCATTCTATGATTCTACGACTGTAAATAAAAAATAAGAAAATACTGCTTTGTGTTGTCAAAGCCTCAGTTCTTCAGAGGCTTCTCATTAAGACAGTGTGTAGTTTTGGAGCCTTAGATGTGCAGTGATGGACGTTGCTGTTTGTGGGACATTGCTCTGTGTGTTCTGTTAATGTGTTTTATGTTTAAAATGTATGAAATACTCTAAGTAGAAGAGAAGCACAAGTGGGGATTGAGTACCACTCAGTCACTTCTTTCAAGAGATGACAGTTCTCAAGAAAGGGTGCAGTTTGATGCAGACCCTTCAGGGGCAGAGCCAGGGAAAATGATTGCTGCTTCCCTACATTCTTACTCAGTTAGGTTGAGAAAAATTACGTGGCTGTGCAGCAAATCCACTCAAAGAAATGGTAGAGGCCTAAAATAGTTGGTGTCTTGCTCAGCCTGTTTTTCAGCCATATAGTTCACTTCTGTTCACTGCTGAGCAGTGCAGGGACTGGTGCTGTCACAAGAGAGGGATTGATGGAGGCTGGGACTGAGCAGCACAGCTGCCAACTGTCTGACTAATGTCTAGAGTATGATGCTGTTACAAAAACTAAAGGTTATTCTGTTGTTCCAAAATGTCTTAGGTTGGTATGAAGATGAAGTTTTTCATGTGAATGCTTTCGGATTTCCGCCTACTGAGCCGTCTGCTACCACAAGGTATAAAACTGACTTTCAGCAGCCTCACTCTGGCTTCGTATTTTGTTGTAGGTTTCCAAGTCAGCTCATTACCATTTTATAATTTTGTGACATTGAAGTATGCTATTATTTCCCCTCTCCAGATATTTCAAAGTAAATACTTTCTTCTCCTGTGAAGAAGGGTTGAGGGAATTGGGCTTATTTAGCTTGGAGAAAAGAAGGCTCTGGGGAGACCTCATGGTGGCCTTCCAGTGCTTGAAGGGAGCAGATAAACAGGAGGGGGAACGGCTGTTTGTGAGGGTGGATGGTGATAGGACAAGGGGAATGGTTTTAAAGTGAGACAGGGGAGGTTTGGGTTGGATGTGAGGAGGAAGTTTTGGTGCCAGAGGGTGGTGAGGGACTGGCACAGGTTGCCCAAGGAGGCTGTGGATGCCCCATCCCTGCAGGCATTCAAGGCCAGGCTGGATGTGGCTCTGGGCAGCCTGGGCTGCTGGTTGGCGACCTGCACACAGCAGGGGGTTGGAAGTGGATGAGCACTGTGCTCCTGTGCAACCCAGGCCATGCTGTGATTCTGTGAAATACGATTTTAAGGAGGCAGTTCTGAGACTTGCATGTTCAGCGTGTTGATAACCACTGAGATCTAAACACTTCTGAACTGCAAAACTAAATAACTATTACATAGGAATAAGAAGCTCCGTGTTGCTCAGGGAATGGATGAGGGAGGGAGCCCTGGGCACACATTACCCTGAGATAATCTATGAACTTATGGCAGGGCAGTGCCCATGCTTTATATCTAGGTGACTGCCATTTATTTTCCTTGGTTTCTCCATCAGCTACTAAATGATAAAGGATGTGATTTGAGCTACCTTTCATCATCATAATAATTTAAATGGCTCAGGTGACTCATAATCAAAACTAGTAATTATTTGTGAAGAGAACAAAAGTAACATGAGTACTTCAATAATGCAGAGCCTTCTATGGGAATATAAACTTCTTTGGAGGTCCTTCCTCAACTTCAGTAAAGGCTTCCACAAAGCTGAAGCAGCTGGAGGATGAAAATGAGGATGCCATGTTTGTATTTCTTTCCGATGTGTGGCTGGACCAAACTGAAGTACTAGAAAAGCTGCATACAATGTTTTCAGGTAGGTGGTGGCCATTTTGAGTCTGAGCTTTGTTTGAGAGAAAGTTTACCATCTCCCTTGATCCTTAGCAGCATTGCTGGTGGCACTGGTAAGCGTGACAGGACGCACAGCTAGGAGGTCCCCTTCTGTGGCTGTGTTCCCTCCCTGCTTTGGGCTGAGAGCTCTGGCCTTGCAGTGAGCCTGCACAGGGAATATCCCATGGGAAACCTGTGTTGGAGAGCTGTAAGCTGATGTAGCTTTCTGTACTTGCATCCTGTGGTTGCTCACAGTGAGCATCACTGTCCATGGAGGGGAAGCTGGCCAGCATATGGCTGACAGCACGGCTGCTCTGCCCAGGGGCTGCTAACTATGATCTGAATGTGCTCCTCTGTGAAACAGTGAGTTTGGTACCTTTTTCAAAGGTATGCCTTTAAATAAAAAGGTTGGGCAACGATTTTTAAGACTGTGTTTATTGTGTGTTTTAAGTGAATTTCAGTTCTGAGAAAGTACCAGTAAGCCCAGCTGCTGACAGTATTTTACAGAACCCCACTGAACCCCAGACTCAATAAAGCCAGCGAGGTCTTGCTGCAGTTTAACGATAGCTATTTGCATTTCATGCTTGCTGTTCTATTTCTTTTGGATCTTTCCCTAACAGATTTATAAATTGGATTGTATTATATTTTTATGAGCTGTCACTTGCTTTTCATAAATCTTTTAGCGCCAATATTGTTTTGGACAGTAGCCATTTTATGTGTTTTGACAAGAAAGTTCATGAACAGTCATCCTAGCCTTAGTTTAAAGAAAACTTTTTCCTCCATCAGCAGAGGGGTGGCAGCAGGGACAGGAGGTGATTGTCCCCCTCTGCTCTGCTCTTGTGAGGCCCCAGCTGCAGTGCTGTGTGCAGGTCTGGAGCCCCCAGTACAGGAAAGGCAGGGAGCTGTTGGAGAGGGTCCAGAGGAGCCACAAAGATGAGCAGGGGGCTGCAGCACCTCCACTACAAAGACAGGCTGAGGGAGCTGGGCTTGTTCAGCATGGAGAAAAGAAAGCTGCAGGGTGAGCTCAGTGCAGCCTGCAGTGCCTAAAGGGAGCCTGCAGACAGGAGGGGAGTCAGCTCTTGGAAAGGGGAGATGGCAGCAGGACAAGGGGAAATGGTTTGAAGTTGAGGGAGGGCAGATGGAGGTTGGATGTCAGGGGGAAGTTGTGTGCTGTGAGAGTGGTGAGGTGTTGGAACAGCTGCCCAGAGAGGCTGTGATGCCCCGTCCATCCCTGGAGGTGTTCAAGGCCAGGTTGGATGGGGCCCTGGGCAGCCTGGGCTGCTGTGAAATGTGGAGGTTGGTGGCCCTGCATGGCACAGGGGGTTGGAGCTTCGTGATCCTTGAGGTCCCTTCCAACCCGGGCCGTTCTGTGGTTCTGTGAGATGCACAGTCTCTCTTGAACACTTTCTGTTTTTTTTTCACCAATGGAAAAATGTCAGTTATTCTCAAAATATGGGCTGTTTCTTCCATGCATCATTACATCAGTAATGATGGCAACATTTAGATAGCAAGCATCTGTGAGATCTGTGAATTGCTTCTTTGCATTCCAGAACAGTTTTGGAACAGCTTGTCCTGTCTGCCTTAGGTAGAATGGAGGTGTGAGAGGGCAGCTGCTTTAAAAAACAAGCAGTATAAAATTAAGGGTGCCAAACTGCTTTCACTTAAGGAAAATTGAACACATTGTCATAATATCTACTGAGAAGTTAAATAGTTAACTTTGAAGTTAGGAAACCAGTTCTGTATCCTGATGAGAGTTGGCAAGATCCTTGAACCAAACCAAGCCTGAGCTAAAACTGCAAATGCTGAAGCAATAAAGGGCTTCGGTCAAGGAGGTTAATAGACTAAGCTGGAAGAGATGCATATATCGTGTTTACCACTTTCAGACTTCTTTTTTATAGACAAGTGGTAAAGCTCATAATTGTATAATAAAAGTAATAGCAGAGGGGAATAGCAAGGAAGAAATACTGCTGAGCCATTTGCCTGCCAGAAGCAATTCTATCCTGTTCACCCCGCTGGTTTCTAACATAGTGAAGGAAATGCAAGTCTGGTGCTGCAGGCCAGGGAGCTGGAGTGGGAGCTGGAACACAAAACAAATGCCCGAGTAGATGTTTTGTTTTTGTTTTAGAGGTGGCAAATGAGTTTATTTTTTTAGCCATTGCTAAAAAACAATGTGTTTAGTGCTACTGTGAGGGTTCATCAGATCCTTAAAATGCTCGTGCAGTACTGTTGCTTTATAATGCTAAAAAATGAGTTAAACAGTAGGAGAGCTTTTGAATTGAATGATGCATGGAGATTAATAACAATCCATTGCTACTGACTTGCTATTTTTCTTTTCAAGGAAAGAATGTATTATTATTACAGGTTTTAGTTGTGTAATTATAGGACTGGGTCAATGATTAGTTGTATACACACAAACAATGTTGTTGGAACTGTAAATAATTAAAGCCTGTGTCTAGAAAATAGGGGTATTAATAGAAGCAGAGCTTGAAGTGCTGTTTTGGCTTTTGCCTTTCGTGAAATGGACTGGAGGCTGAATGATGAAAGATCTCGAGGTGGGTGGATGTTACACTCACATGTGCTTTGTTTTTCCAGGTTATTCCTCTGCTCCTCCAACCTGCTTTTTCTTTTGTGGAAATTTCTCATCTGCACCATATGGAAAAAACCAAATTCAGTCTCTGAAAGGTGTGGAATTCTTCGCAGTCAATCCTGAGCATTAAATTAAAACAAGAGGTGGTAAAACTGTTTCAGAAGGCAGAAAAGAAGTGCATTGTTTTTGCTGTGCTGAAGTGTACAGGTGATCTGTGTCACGTGTGTTTTTGTTCTAACCAAGTGCTGCTCCATGGATATTTTTTCTCTGGCTCTAGGTTCCTTGAAGGCTCTTGCAGATATAATATGTGAATATCCCAGCATTCATAAAAGGTACACAGTGAAGTGCTGTGGGGGTGGCAGGGGGAATGTGCTTGTTTTGGAAAATGTTGCTTTAATTACTTCAGGAATGAACAGATAGCACGTTTTCCCATTGTTGTGAGCCAGCTGCAATCAGGTTCCAGGCCTGTAAGATTGTTTGGGGATTGGTGTAAGGCACTGATTCTGGCTACAACAATTTGGTCATGGAAGCTGCCCGTTGAGTCAGCAAAGGTGAACCTGCCTTTCTTGGGAGCATTTCCCAGATGGATGAAGCGTGGCCCACAGTTCTCCAGAAGCTCTATTTGAGTGAGGCTTTTTTCCTCCAAAATTCCCTTGCATTCAGCAGGGATCTGCCCATGCAGTACTGCTTACTAAACTGATGTCCGGGTCTTGATGCCGCTAGCAGCAGCTGCAGGCTTTCTGTACCAACCCTGAGAAATGTCATCTGAAACACTGCCTGCATAGAGTTTCTTGTTTCTGCCTTCCTGTTCTTGCCTGCATGGTTCTCCACAGCTGTTAGTTTGAGAGCCAAGCAAAACAACACCATCCTGAAGAGGGATGGATCCTTTATCTGTCTTTCTACAGATGTTTGAATATACAAAGGAAAGAAAAGCAGGGAGACAGCCAGGCTTATCCTTTCTGGCTTCTCACCTTTGAGTTCCTAACAGTAGCTGTGAAGCAGAGCTAGTTCCTAGGATGGGCTCCCAGAGCAGTCATTTCTTAAATATAAGAGCTCTCCCACTTCAGTGTGGGATGGATATGAGCCTTATGACTCAGTTGTGATTAAAGTTGTTCATAAGGCCTGAAGGAACTGTCAGCTCTGCCGTGGAATATGTTACTTGTGTTCATCTGTGGAATTGTGGTAGTACATAAGCAATGGTTAGATACTTCTAGGATTATTTTATATGAAAGCAATGTATTTAACTCATTGCAGTAGTCGATTTGTGTTTGTTCCTGGCCCTGAAGATCCTGGTCCTGGCTCTGTTTTACCACGGTCAGTTTGCTTCACTTTTTACATTTTGAAAATCTGAATGAAATAGCTAAAGAAAGTAAGAAATTTGTGTGATTCACGTGTTGCTACTTATTTTAGACCTCCTCTGGCTGAAAACATCACTCAGGAATTCAGGCAGCTGGTGCCATTTTCAGTTTTCACCACAAACCCTTGCAGGTAACAGTTGAACTTACTGAGAGTTTTCATGTTGTTGTTTTTTTTCTTCTTTTCTTTTGAACTGAACTGAACTATTTAGTTTATGTGCAGATGTAGTGGTCTTAACATTTTTAAGTGAGGAGAATTCCTCACATTAATTGTAACTAATTTAAAATACACTAATATAGAAATAAATTAGTGATGACACCATCTTGAACAAAATGGTTTGGAAGTACTGCGAGAAGCTTAACTCAGTATAGAAAAACCTCAAAAACATTTTTTTTCTGAATCTGGAGGGAAAGAAACAAAGATGAGGAGGGATTGTTTTAATTGAAACGCGTGCTTTCATTTTGCTGTATTAAAGATTAACTTTATAATACATCTTTCCATCTGTTAGCATTTCACTGTCATTCGTTTAATTTCACTGACGTTTTCATTTAGGATTCAATATTGCACACAAGAAATCATCATCTTCCGTGAAGATTTGGTAAACAAAATGTGCAGAAACTGCGTCCGCTTCCCTAGCAGCAGCATGGACATTCCCAATCATGTGAGTTGTGTTCAGCACTTCTTGCTAACTTCTTGACTTCTTTTTTTCTTTCATCAGCAGGTCTACATTTGGGCTGCCTCTGACCTGCAGAGCTGCATGTGTTTGCAAACTTCTTAGAGTAACCAGGTTTCTTGAAAGAGTTGTGAGGAGGGATCTATACATGTGGTAGTACTGCTTGCATTTATATCTTGATAGCAGATAACCAAACCAGGATGCTTGTGGATGACATCAAGTCGTGCTGACTGTCCCATTGCACTTGTCCTTGAACTCAGAACTTACCAGCAGCTGGCTGTTGGTGTGTATGCACCAGCAATGAACGTCGTACCGCTAAACATCGATTCCTAAAGGCAAAGCTTAATAGAAATTACCTTTCTAAGATTTGATCAATTAACCAGTGACATTTGCAGTCAAGCAGCACGTTGCTTTTCCAAAAGGTCATCTGCTTCATCTGCCTTTTCACTTGAAGTCTTAATCCTGCTTTTGATACATAGACACAGCACTCTGATTCTAGTTAATGAGTGCACGGCAGTTGACGAGACTTACTGATAGAAGTGAATGAGGATGATCTAGACAATACTGGCTCATTGCTGTGATGGATGGAATCCGTTTCTATTTATTTTATAGGGTTCTTTTGTTTTTAATTTGTTTGACTTGGAAACTTCCTGTTAACTCTTCCTTCTCTCCATCGCAGCAATGCTCAGATTCTTTGTGTGCAGAGAGAACCCCATTGTGGATACTGATGCACCTGTCTTCTGTGTGCATTTTTGCATACGTGTGTGTATGCTGTGAACCTTGATTTACTCATACAGGGATTCCTGAATTCTGCCAGATGAAAATGGGAATTACAAGGGGAGCAGCTACCCAGCAGGAGGTGTCACTTAGGAATCAAAAACACAACTTCAGGGTAAAGACTGTAAAGTGTGGGTCTTGTGGTTAACTGGTATTGCAAGAAAAGCCCTGAGGAGTAAAAGCAAGAAGGCTACAGAAAATCTATGGCAGTGTTGGTACCTTCTGGGCTGGAGAAACAGATGAGCAGATTTTGCAGTTTGTGTATTAACAAAGAAAACAAATCAGCAGCTAGCTGTTGCAGTGGAATCACTGCTTTGCTACAGAAAGCCCCACTAACCAGAGGGAGCGAGAGGCATGGAAAGTATTTCCAGGTTCAAAACTTCTGTATAGGCAGAACGTTTGTAGGAATGAGACTGACTTATAGGGTATGGTTCAGATGAACTCTCTGTGTTTATCTTGCAGTTTGTAAAGACCATATTATCACAAGGACACCTGACACCACTTCCACTGTATGTTAGCCCTGTGTACTGGGCCTACGACTACGCCCTGAGGGTTTATCCTGTGCCAGACATGCTCGTCGTTGCGGATAAATACGACCCCTTCACTGTCACCAACACTGACTGCATTTGCATAAATCCTGTAAGATCTCCTTACACTTTACAGAATAAGACTTGTGCAGACAACCTTGAATTCATAAATAGCTTTATTAATATATTAGGAAAATTAATGATGGGTCAATTGCCAAAGGGAATGCAGTTACATACTGCCTCTGACCATCTGTACAGTGTTATACTTACACATTTGTGGTGTATTTTTCTTCACAGGGTTCTTTTCCAAGGAGTGGGTTTTCTTTCAAGGTATTCTACCCCTCCAACAAGACTGTTGAAGACAGGTAAATATATTCATTTTATTTGCTGACTTTCTAGTTATCAGGAGGAATACAGAAAAGCAATTATATAAACAGAACAAATCTAGCAGTTAACGCAGCAGTATGAGAAGCTCAGAAGCCTAGACCTAAAATAAGACATTCCGAAGTTATGGTCAGGAAACAGTGATGAGAAACGTGATCCAAAAGTAAACAGAAACATAGATTGTATTAAATGATTTTCAGTAACTGAGACCCAGTTGGGAAACAGATTTGTTTCTGAACATTATACTTGTTGCATGGGTTAATCACATTTAGAAACGATTTTTGGTTCATTTTGTGATCATAATCAAACTCAGAAGCCATTTTTATGCTCTGATTTCATGTATTTTACACGTGTGCTTATTCATTCCCAGTGTGGTCTTTCAACAGCTGGAAAAAAAACAAACCAGTTGCAAAACCAGAAAAACACAAACTAAACACTATCAAAACATTTACAACTGTGCTAAAATTTCCATCTGTTTGAAATAACAGTGGTAGAACCAAACAGGAAAATTGCTATTTGTCTTGTCTGCCTCTGATTCAATTTCATGTCTTTTTGCAGCAGCTTTTTGACATCTTCTGTAGAATAGGGATAAAAGATGTAAGGGATAAAAGATAGATCTGTGTTTAATTCAATCTTTACTTGAATACAGAAATAATCGTACCAAGAGGTGTTTTAGGTCTTTAGATGGATCAAAACATTATGAAGTCTTTCACAGATCACAGAATAGAATGATGTGGTATGTATTGACATTTCTTTTAACTAAACCTTTCTTTTGTTTGGTATTTTCAGCAAGCTTCAGGGTCTCTGACTTCCTCCAAGACTACAAAAAGAGACTGAGCCTTTGTGAGGCCAACTGCAGCACTCGTTTAGATGGATTGATTTTATGATGTTTTGCAGGCTGTTCATAATAAATGTCAAAGCCATGCTTATTTTGTATGAAAATAAACTTTTACACAAAAATATGCTGCATTTAGATAAAATTAATTTCCACAACACAACAAAAGAAGGCACCTGGAAGAAGCAAGGGCACATATAGGAAATAGGTATATTTTAGAAAGGAAGTGAAGAAGAGGGAGAACAGTTTTTCCCTATGCTGAGCAGAACTGAGAGCTAGTTCTCTGCTACCCACAGGAAGGGCAGCGCAGGATGGGATTTGTCTTGGGGCAGGAAAGGCATAAGGCAGATTTGCCAGGGGCTGATTAGTGCTGGCAGTGGATAGTGGTACTCAGCCAGGGAGAGGCGAAAGAGAACAGGGGTGAGGTCGTTTGAAATCCACGCGGGAGCATCAGGACGTGGCGGTACTGATTTCCATACGTGGTATAGCCTGCAGCAGTTGTAGTGGCCCTGCGGACCTCACTGGGGCGCCATCTTGCTCGGCGTCGCCATAGCAACGGACTGACAGCGCCACCGCCATCTTGTTTAGCGTAGTCATAGCAACAAAACAAGGGTGTCGCCATCTTGTTTAGCGTCGCCATAACAACGCGCTAGGCCAGAACGGAGCCGCCATCTTGTTTATGCGTCTCCACAGCAACCGGCGCGGCCATGGCGGGCCCGGGGCGGCTGGAGGAGCTGGAGCTGAGCTCCGAGGAAGCGGAGCGGCTGCAGCGGGCCTTCCGCGACGAGCGGTTCCGGGCGCTGTTCGCCGAGTACGCGGCGGAGCTGGCCGACCCGGAGCAGCGGCGGCTGTACGAGGAGGAGGTGACGGCCCTGGAGCGGGAGCGCGGCGTGGAGGTGCGCTTCATCCACCCGACGCCGGGCTACGTGCTGCGCACCAGCCAGGCCGGCTCCCGCCGCTGCTACCTCAACATCTGCAGCAACCCGCACGTCGCCCCGCCGCAGGCCCGCGCCGAGCCGGGCGGCCAACGTTGGGCGCTGCCCCACAGCCTGGCGCCGGGCCGCGAGGAGCTGGGCCGGGCCGGCCGCCGCTGCCTCGTTTACGATGTCGTCTTCCACCCCGCCGCGCTCCGCTTGGCCGCCCGCAGCGCCCGCTTCCGCCGGCTGCTCAGCGACGCGGCCATGGAGGCCGTGGAGAGCCGCTTCTCCGTGCAGCTCGACCGCGCCAACGCATCCGTGCTCCGCGGCGCCCGCTACAAGGGCGTCCCGCAGGCGCCCGTCATCCGCTCCCCGCTGCCTGGCGGCGCCCCGCAGCCGCCCTCTGACACCGCCCTGGCGCCGCCGCCGCTCCCCCCGCCCGGCCTTCCTTCCGCCGCTCCCCCGCCGGCCCCCGGCCCGCCGCCCGGCCCGCCGCCCGGCCCCACCACCCCGCGCTGGAGCGTCCGCCACCGCTCCTACGTGGACTTACAGGACTACTGCCACGACTCGGCGCCCGGCCCGGTGCCCCGGGAGCTGGTGGTGACGGTGGAGCTGCCGCTGCTCCGCTCCGCCGCTCAGGCCGAGCTGGAGGTCCGCCCGCAGGAGCTGCGCCTCGACTCGCGGCGGCCCGCCTACCGCCTCCGCCTCCGCCTCCCGTACCGCGTGGACGAGAGCGCAGGCCGCGCCGTTTTCGACAAGGCCGAGCGGCGGCTGCTGGTCACGCTGCCCGTCGTACCGCCGCCCGGCCCGGGGGCGCCGCTCGGGGAAGCCGGCGGGGAGCGGTGGGAGGAGCCCCGGGAGGAGGCCCGGCCCGGCCCGGAGCTCCCTGACGAGCCGGCGACCGCATCCTCCCCGCCGCCCCGCTCCGAGGCCGCTTTCCCGAGCGCCGGCCCCGAGCCTGGAGCCACTTTCCCCGCTCCGAGCGCCGGCTCCGAGCCAGCTCCTCCCGACGGGGCCCCCCCTCCGTGCCCGGCCGAGGGCGGCCCCGGCCACATGGCTCATCCCCGGAGCGGGGGTGACTCCGGTCCCGCCGCTGCTGCGTGCCCTCCCTTCCGGTGCCGCCAGGATGAGGCCTCCCTCACCCTGCTCCTGCCGGTGCCCGGCATCCAGCCCCAGAGCCTCAGCGGGGAGGTGGCCGCCAACCGCTACAGCGTCCGCTTCTCCAGCGGTGCCGTTGCCTATGCCCTCATCCTGCAGTTCCCTGCCGCCAATAGGCTGGCTGCCCCCGAGACCAGCGTCAGCGTGGGCGCCCACAACGCTGTCATCCTGCTTGCCAAGGCCGCGGAGAGCACCGGGCTTTGGGAGAAGTACTGCTTCGGCCTCGACGCCTCCGCTCTGCAGGTAACAGCTTCCAGGGGTTGCTGTGCTCTCCCCACGTCGCAGCACTGTGTGTGTGATATCTCTTAGGTTATCACTTGCAGGGCTGGTAGCAGATGTCAGTGTGACAAATGACATAATTAGTGCTGGTATCATGTGAGTGGAACGAAGGTCGTGTTGTGGAGCTGATAGCTTCGTCCTTGGGGCTGGAATGACTTCTGCCTCCAGAGCTGAGTCTTTTCCTGAAAGAAATGCTGATATGAGTGAAAATGGCATGGCCTTCATCCTTAACCTTTCCCACGTGTGTTTGCCAAGATTGCCAAGTTCACCAGCTGCTTCTCACAGCAACATTGCAAACCAATAGGAAAGCACAGTGCTGTGCTCTGGGGGAGCCTGTGGAATGAGGATGTTGAGTAAGATGATCTCCAGAGGTCCCTTCCAACCTCAGCTGTTCTGTAACAACCTCCTGGCTCACTCAGCCTGTGTATGTGAAGAAAGGAGATGTTGGTCACCCACCAGAGGCACACACGTGTGCAGCTCCTTGAAATGCAGTTGTGAGGGGAGCCTTTCAGTTCAGCATTCCCTCTACAGCTGCAAAACGCAGTACTGTAGCCACAGTAGCTGTGAGCAGTCTCCCCCTGTGCTGGTGTGCTTCCCCATCCCTTCATTACATCTGAGTATGGTTCTTGTGGAGATGTTTTTTTCTTCTGAGGGCCATTAGGCAGTAGATGCTCTGTGTGATGGAGAAATACAGCATGTCTGCTGCATCTGGATGACACCTCGCTGAGGGCCAGCACTCTCTCCAGAAGGTGCTCTGTGAAGCAGCACTCACACAAGTTTGGTGGAGAAGTTCTCCATCAAATCCACCCTTCTGTACGCTCGGTGCCTCATGTAACTTATGTGAGCAGGGGTTAAGGCTGTGTAAATCTTACTGAACTTTTCGGCCCTGTGACTTTGAGCTTATCTGTGTTTTAGAAAATCAAACACTTTGCACTTTGGATCACAAACTATGGGAGTGCGAGTCTGCAAAACTGGTGAAGTATATCCAAAGGGATGATGGCTTGGAGCCTTAATTGCTCAGCCCCTACAGTTGGAGCATACTGCGTGATTCTGAGGGAGATACATTTATCCCATTAGTATCTGTGCAGCTGAAGCTTCCTGTTTATTTCCCATCTAGCAGGCTAACACCTTTCCTGTGAGCTTCTCTGAAGGAGGAGCTGATCAGCTGGGTATCAGAGAGGATGGATTTATTGAGAACCACCCGCACTGAACTGCTTACAGTGTATTTCCTTGACTTGTAGCAGAGCAGGAGCCTGCAAGTCTGTACAGTTGGGAGCACAAAGTGTTTGACACTGCTGCTGGTCTGTAGAAGCAAACACTGCTGATGCAGTGTCAGGTTGCATGCAGGAGGCTCTTGTGCCAACTGCTGCCTATGTTCTTTGTGCATAGGGAAGGGATGAATGGCAACTAGAAGCGTTCTGACTGCTTTGTCACCTAGTCTGCATATATCCATCCCCTGCATCGTGTGCCATGATGCATGTCAGCCTGCTCACTTGTTGGTTGATAGCAGACAGGCCTAAACATACATCTAGCAATCTTACTCCTGGAGCATCTGATAGCCTGCTGCAGTTCTCCAGGGACGTTAGCAGAAATGGTGGGGTGAGGATGCAGTGGTTTGCAGACGTCACTGTGATTGATGCTCATTCATTAGCATTTATCATTTTAAATGGTTATAGCAAAATCCTACGTTGTAAGGGAGCAAAGCACAGCTTTCTGTGACTCTTTGCAGGGTTCTTGCTGAAAATTCATTTTGGGAGCAGGAAATTCTGCTGCAGTGTCTGGTGCTTTGGCTGACGGATGTGTTTGCATGCTTTGATCTCAGCCTTGCAGGTAGGATATTTGATGTATTTGTTATTATGATGGGGGAACATCTTTCTAGGGAAAAGTGTTCAAATGCTACTCAAGAATGGAATTTTGATCAACTCTTTTTTTTTTTTGACAAAACCCCCATATCTTTAAATGTTCTGAGTTTATTATACATTGCAAAGTGTTTTGGCTGGAGTAGTAGGAGGAGGAGCTCTGGAATTAGTCACAGGCCTCCCAGCCATTCATTTATGTAGCAGAGTGAAAAAGACAGATTTCTTCTGTGGTGCAGCCCTTTTGGATCCAGGACAGCAAATTGAAGCAGTTGGAATAATCTGAAGTCATTTGTTCTGTTTGCTTTTCTTCTGAACTGTGCTATTTCCCAGAAGTGCCTGTGCCAGCACAGATAGCTGCATTCACTCAGAGAGAAGTGAGAAAAATTAATATTTAATTAGAGCTACTATTATATGCTGTCTTCTGTCCATTAACGATTAGTCTGCGGTAGCTTCTCCTCTACTAATGTTGGTTTCCTCGATTTGTCTGCTGTAATCTCTGTTATTTTTCTCCTGTGGATCTATCCCTGTAAATCAGAGCTGTGCACTGGGATCTGCCAGCAGCTGCATCGATCGCAGAGGAGAGCACTTTAGGGATAAGCTCAGCAGCAGTGCCCCACTGAATGGCATTAGGTGGCTTTTGGTGGCCTGGGTGAGCAGAATGTTATCCTTTACCTCTGGTCTGCCTGCTTGTAGCCCCTTCTCCCACAGGGGATAGCAAACAAAGAGCCAGTGCTCTTCATGGACAGGAAATGCCCATCCTGATATCTTCTAGGAATCCACTTATGGGAGACGAAGGCCTGGAGCAGGTTCCTTGCTGGGTGAGTGATGCAGAAACGTGCCTAGCTCGCTGCTGGCTGTTCCAGTCCCCCGTGATGCTGCCCGTGTAATTGCCTCCCATTAACTCACCAAACA